TTCATTTTTGAAAAAGTTACGGCAGTTTTTAGTAAAAAAAATTGAAAAAATTTCGAAAATTAGCGATTTTTAAATTTGTAATTTTTTTGGAGGTTTCCCCCATTTACGGGGAACGAGGGAAATTTTTTCAATTTTGAAGGGTAATGTCTTCGACTAGATACAATTTGTGATCTTTTGACGTATCGTTGAAAGAAATCCGTTCAGTGAGAGCTGAGAAAAAGTGGTAACAGACACAAAAAAAAAAAAAAAAAAAAAAAAAAAAAAAAAAAAAAAAAAAAAAAAAAAAAAAAAAAAAACACATCATAGTAAAACCAATACCTTCTCAGCTTCGCATCGAAGCTAAAAAGATTATTTTTTATATTAGTTACAAGTTTATAAAATAATTTTTGAATCTATTTGTTATTTTCATCTAAATTATGTTTAAATGAAATAATAACAAGGCTTGAAACATGTTACCAATTTCTCTCAAATACTATATAAATTTTTTTTTTAATTATGAAGTGACCACTGAAAAACCACTTACCTTAAAAAAGTAACTATAATCTGTTACCAGTAATTGATCATTATTTTTTAATTTTTAACCTGTATCCAACTACCAACACATTAGAGAATCTGTTTTAACAAAAATTGACTGCCGCTTTTTACAAAATCAGTAACTTTTACCGATACTAGTTACTGATTTCAAGTAAAGTTCAGTTTTTACTAAGACTTATAATCCTTTTTTTGTAATGATTTTTCAAGCAATAAAGAAATAATTTTATAAATAAAATGCTTTATTCTGAAAGACTTAAAAATAGAATGTGTTTTGTTTTACAAGTAAAATTATATTAAAATCTTATTATCCTGAACTTTCTTAATCACTTATTTTTAAATTTAATTTCTAGCTGAAACATCTCAGGAAAATATACAAAATTCTCAGCACTTGCGACAAACACCACCTAATCAATCAACTCAAATTCCTCACAATACTTTTAATGGCCAATCACAAAGCACAATTAACCAACATAACTCATATCCTGGTAGCCAATTACCCCAACCCCAAGGTATGATAACAAAACACCTAAATAACATTTTTTTGTAGAATTCAAGTTTAAGGTGAATTAAAGGAGTGATTCTCAATACTTTTATTTTTTATAGTATAATATATTATACTGGGTACATAATTTATAGTGTACATTATAAAAAAAATATAAGAAAATCATTTATCATAAAGAAGGATAGTTAGAGAACTCAAAAAAAAAAAAAAAATGACACCAAATTCTTATATATCTGGTGACTGTGATTTACTAATTTGACTAATTAACTAATCTTAATATCATTAAATCACGGTGGGACACCCTATACATAATTTCTATAACTATTTATTTATTAGTTACATGTAATTAAAATAATGGAAGGAAACTAATTATTTTATATGGAATGCTTATTTATAGGTCCTCAAGGTAAATGGGTACCATATCCACCATCATCAATTCGTCCGTCTTATCCACCAGCTCAATACTCTTATGTTTATTCTACACAATTGCCAGCTCCAGGATATAATCAAATGACAGCACAAATGAAACCTCCAACTGGTAATCCACCACCTGTACATTCAATGTATTATCCAGCAAATACTACTCCTAATTCACAATACACTACTAGTCAATATCCTGGACAGTAAAATTCAGTTGCGTTATAATTTATGTTTTATTAATGTTATTTTCAATATCCTGAAATAAAAATAGTATATGACTAAATTTTTTTTTATATATTATATTATTTAAAAAATGTGTTTAAATTTTAAATTTTTATTTATATATATAATTTTTTATACATTAGTTTTAAAAGGCACAATTTAAAATATAATATAAAAAGTAGTATTTGGAGTGTATTGATATATTTTTTTAATTTTTGTTAAAAATAATTTAGATTATAAAAAACATTTCTCATTTCATTATAAATTTAATAATATTAATATTGTGTCATGAATAACTATTTTAATTTTTAAATTATTTTATTTTTTTTGTTCTTTATAGTAAAATTAATGTTTTTTGAATTGGAGTTAGTAATATTTGTGTATTTTTATTAACTGCAATAGTCAAATATGTATAAAAAAATTTCATTGATTAAATTTTTTAGTTCATATATGACTTCCTCAAGTATTTATAAAGAAAACTACTCTTATAATTATCATTGAACCAAGATATAAAATGAGCATTTGTCATTAAGTAACATCATAAAACTTGTTATCAACCAGTCAACAATTTTTTAGACCGTTCCTCATTTAATAATAAAATTATAATCGGTACCCATTTAATTTTCGAAAGTTATCCTTTAAGTCTACCCTGGAAATATTATTTCTTACAATAAACTTGATATTTACTATAATTTATAAAAAAAAATCAAAATTTAATTTGTTCATTTTTATGAACAGATTATTATTTAAAAAAAGAGGGATATCGTTTAAAAAAAAAAATCATACTGCATAATTAAACAAATATTGGAACAAAACCATCTAAAATTAAACGTTTTACGCATTTGTCAGTCATCAACATAGATGCTAGTCGTTTAACATGAAAAAAACTAATAAAGTAACCAAAAATGTATAAATTTTGAATAACTTGTTTATACTTGTTTTCTTATGGTAAAAATGCACAATTACTTTACAATGCAATAGAGTATTATGTCGTATTTACTAAATACATATTCCTCATCAAAATGAATTAGTTTACATTCCTAATTCTTTAATTTTTATAGGAAACCAGTTCCTTGTTTAGTTCCTACAAAAGATCTCGTCCCAGGAATCCGTTCTTTTTGGAACCAATTCATTCCCAATGCGAAGACATATCTCGTAAAACTATGTTAAACAATTCAATGTAAACGACATTTATAACATGAACCTCTAAACTATTGATCTTAGCGATATTCACAGGGGGGTTAGATGAATTACCCTTAGTACCTTTGTTTTCAAAGTTGATTGTATTTTCTTTTTAAACAACATTTCTTATTTTTCAACAGTTGAAAACTGTACAATTATTCGATACTTTAAGCTCTTGGTATATAAATAACAAAGATGGATTTGGACCATACTAGCCTGATCCATTAAAATTAAGCCCTACCTAAAAGTCGGGACGAGCCGTAATAATAATTTAATGTTTTGACCAGTCCAGGTCGGGACTAGATTTAAAATAGATTGGGCTGATTTAGGCATTAATTTAAAATGAATTGAGGTGGGTCGTATCAGACCAAATATTGACAATGAATCATGTATGCTCGCGTGAATTATATATAAAAATCTGACAGTGATTAAAATTACTATCATAAAAAACGCTTCGATGCAAATTTGTAGATGGTGTTTAATTTTAAAAAATTGATAGATTATTCCAAAATGATCTCCTATTTCCTTATTTATATCCTAATTATAAGTTTTATGATTTATAAGTTTAATATATAAATAAATATATAAAAAAAAGTATGTCGAATGAAAGAGGGATATAAATTCTACTTTTCATGAAAAAATTGTATTGATTCATACATTTTTCAAACAGTTATAGCATAATAAAGTTAAAAATGTAAAATATAAAATCGAGACATTTAAACAAAAATAGCATTCGGTAGCCATTTTCATCGTGAAGACAAAATACAGTCAGAAATTTTTTTTCCAATAATAAATTATATTGCATTAGCTTTAATTTAAGGTATATAAAAAAGTATTAGACTTTCCAGAACACTTTCAAAAGTTCAGTTGAAAAAGTTGTCATTTTAAATCTCTTCCTATGGGCAAGTAAAGTGTCAGATTTATAAAAAAAAAGTATACCAAATGATAGGTAAAGACATCATGAATTTATAAAAAAAAATTATATTGATCCATACATTTATCAAAAAGTTATGGCAGTTTTAAGTAAAAAAAAATTGAAAATAATTTCAAATATTAGAGATTTTTAAATTTGTAATTTTTTTGGAGATTTCCCCAATTTACGGGGAACGAGGGAAATTTTTTCAATTTTTGAGGGTAATGTCTTCGACTAGATACGATTTGTGATCTTTTGACGTATCGTTGAAAGAAATCAGCTCAGTGAGAGCTGAGATAAAGTGGTAACAGACAAAAAAGAAACACAGTAAAACTAATACCTTCTCAGTTTCGCAACGAAGCTAAAAAACAAATAAACAATTATTTTTTTTTGAAAATAAAATATAACGAGTGAAACTTAAAAAATTAAAAACTTTTAATTGCAATTATAGTATTATTTAAATTTAAATAAATCGGACGAGGCATACATTTTTACACACACAGAATATCGGTTTATCATAAACTACTCGATTACTTGTAAAATAAGCGTTTACTCCTTACTTCCAGACATTACTTAAATTATTAATAACTTTTGAAATACTGGTAAAAAAATTGTTGTTGATCAGTCATTTTCTTAATTATATTATTTCATATTATATAAACCAGTTAAATATGTATGTTGTCATACAAAAAAATAATGTTGACATCCTTATAAGTATTGAGGGATGATGCTAAAAAGTAATTATTATCTGATAAATCAAGAATTATATATAACGAAAAGAAATCAAAAATTATTTTTCCAATATTGTATTTATTTTGCAAGTAATCTATAATTTATGATAAACCAATCACCTTGAATATTTGGGTCAGGTCGGATCGGGCTAAAAAAAATTCAGATTGGATCGAATTGTACATTTAAGGCTCAAACTGATCTTTGACAGATAAAAATTACTATTTATTTAAAAATTTTATCTTTCATATGATTGGATTCTGGCAGACACACCAATTCTGGTTTTAAATGATAATACAATCATTATTTTATCCATGAAAATAAAATGGTATCCATATCATTTTTGTTAGGTATTAGAAGTTCTGCTAAAGTGAAATGTTAATACTATTTACTCTAGATGTGCTAATTTTTTGTATTGAAAATATTTCAGGAACAATTATTTGAGATTAAATCGATAATTTGAGATTTTTCTATTTTATTTATAAGTTTTTATATGTTATAGTTTTTTTTATTAAGATTATTATTGATATTACTTTATAAAATAAGAAGCGGTAAAATTTACAAAAGTGATACATTAGTAAGACTGGTAAGTATTTTATTTTTAAAATTATAACCAACTAATAAACATTTTTAGGATTTCTCACTTATCTTTTATATTATTTATACTTAAAAAAATTATTTAATATTAGTTAGTATTACTTTTTTTTTTTAGTAGATGATTTTATTTTATTATTCAAGTGATATAGATTAAGTTGGTGTAAGTAGTATTAAACAAATACATATTTATTAAACGTGTATCTACTTAATTTACAAAAAGAATAATAGTATTTAAAATATTCATCTTGAATGATGAGAAATTCTGTATATATATATAATACAATTATTGTGAGAATGGAAAATTGTATGATTAAAAACAAATTTTTAGTGTTTTAGAATGCAAATAATAAATCAACTTTAATAAAACATGATACTCTGAAAAGAGTTGATTGAATAATCAGCATAATTTTTTTATGTTTACTATGTGTCAAAGTTAATTTGTTAACAATTTTTACAGATATTAATTACGTTGTAAATGAATCACTTTCTTTTATAGTAAACATATGTATGTCTATAGATATTATTTTGTAATATTTTATTGCATTTTGTTGTACATTTTCAGTTAAAAATATATGTGTTAAAGTAAACACAATCTATCTTGGGCAAAGCTGTATTTATGATTTTGGCGTAGGATGGCAACATGAATTTTGGATTTCGCAAATTTTTTAAAGAACATTAATGAGCAAAAAGAAAGTGAACATTTTTTTCTCTTTACCATTAGCTTCATCAAGATTATATTGATAATTATAATCTTAAAATAAAAATAAAGAATATAAAATATCTTATAAATCATAATTACCAATATTAAAAAAAAAAATTTTTTTTTGATCAGCCGTATGTTAAGAATATTTGTAGATTTTGCTTTTTAATATTGAAATTCGCTCCTAAAAGTTTTTGGAAGGGTTATTGCCCTTCCGAACAACCCCATAAAAACTGTCATGATCTCACAATTAATATCAGTTATTTGCTTAAAAAAATTTTTCTTTTGTAATAGTACTTATATTGCAGTTAGAATTGTCAAAATACATTTTTAAATTTTTAATGATTGGATATTACTTTTAAAATTTTATAAATGTGTTAGTGTATAATGTTTTATTTTAATTAAATCGATATATTTTATTGTATTTCTGAATTATTGTTCAACACATTTGTTTCATAAATTAAAAATTGTAAAAATAGTGAGTAATCGTTTGAAAAAAACATTGACATTGCAGCATTAGTCATAAAAATATATATTCTTGCTGACTATCAGTTATTTTAAATAATAAACTTTGTGTTGCGTAGTTTTACGTAAATTACGAACAAAATTGAAGTGTTGATATAAAAACATATGCAAATTTTTATTTGGCAGGTATATTTCAAGTAATATGACATAATTTCAGTATTTCCATGTTGCGAGTGATTATTAATACTATCAAATATTTGCTTAAAGTATCGTCAAATTAGTCGTTGCTTTGATATGAATTAATATTTATTTTTATCCTTTTGTAAGAAAATATTTAATGAGAAATTTGGACGTCTTTGGTGATTGTCTATTTGAAAAAAAAAGTTTTATTGTGTAGTTTTTGCGCTAATATCACATTTACTATATCAAATTGTACAACTGAGATTTAATCGTTTTTACAAATGACTCACTATCACGGTGGAACTATTTTATAGTATTTATGGATATTTTATAATCATTGAATAAAATCTCAATCATTAGTTATATCATATTTGCGAAATGTATTTTCGAATCCGGTACAGCATATATTTTGTATGCTATTGCATGGCCTTGTGTTCGCCGCGACGTCAGCACTGTTAAACATCGGCATACACTCATCGTCTACAGGCGACGGCGCGCCGCTCACCGATTTCCCGCGACAGTTTACTGTTGGTTTTCATCCTTGGCAATCGTATTTGCTGTCGCCAGCCGTTTCTGATGTACCGCAAGATTCGCCCTTATAAGTGAGAGCTTCTATTTCGTTTATTAATATTTCGTATGCTCTCGTGCGTCCGGCAATCCTTTCCTATTTTACGGTAACATATAATATATTTCCGTCCGTCGACCGTGTGCTTGCGGGTTATCTTTGTTAGTTCCTGCTTTCGTAAACGGAGAAACACTTGCTATATATCGGAATCATCGGGTGTGGAGCATGTAATGCATTTTAGTTCCATCGATCGACTACTTCTCGTTTATGGTATCGTCTACGTTCACTTGGTGAGCTACTTAAGACCTCTAAAAAACAAAAATTCACTAAATTTACCCCACCCCGTTATTTTGTTTTTATTGGCAATAGTCGAAACGAATCGACTTTATTTGGCGGCACCCTCGAGTGATAAAATTGAGTTGCCCTAAAAATTTAACTATTGTTCCAGTTTATCGTAGTTAAAGTTCTTAACAACTTTAATTTAAAACTATCATTTGATCTTATGCGCGTATAATATACATAATAATAGTTATTATGTCTAACCTCGTTGTGACCTTAATTACTACTATTTGAATTAAATTTTAATATTTTTATTAATTTTTGTTAAATGAGAATAATTTATATAATAATTTAATGATTTAACGCTATAGACAAATAATAATTATTATATATGATTAATTTTTTAAAACTCTTAGTCAGTGATCTAACCTTCAAAATACTACCTACATAAATGCTGACCGGTTTCCTTAATAAGTACCTACTATATATTGACCTTTCATTGATGTTTTAGATACAATTTAAAAATTAACTTAAACAATTTTAATAGATAAACTGATTTTCTAGAGTAATAGTATTCAATAATTAATGTGTATTTACTTAATGATATATATTTACTATATTTCCGGTTATATTTTCTACAATATGATGTGAAAAATTAAGCACTTAGAATTTATTTTTACTATGAAGTGTATTGCGCTTATAGTGTTATTATGTTTTATTGAAATAATAAAAAGTAACTCCTTGTAAATATAATTTCAAGTAGACCAATCTTCAAATATAGGAGTGCTTTAGTATAGTAAAGTTAAATGTTATAACTTCATTATTTTTTACAAATAGCTGTATTCATAGATAATCAGATAAATAATGTACAATTTTGCAAATATTATTTTTATGTAGATCAGTGACGTTTTCAGGGTTTGTCTAGGAATGGGGGAGGTCGAAATAAAAATATACTTTTTTAACATATATCAAATATATTTTATGTTAAATTATTAATCAAATTGTTCATCTTATAAATAATAGATTGTTCAAGTAAAAAAAAATGATTTTTTTTTAAAGATTAATATCTAGTTTAATATTTATGAAATAAAAATGGGTAGTTAGTAGATACTTTTAGATATTATTGTTTAGAATTTATTAATTCTTATGTTTATACTAGTATAAAATGTTAACACTTTTCTTTGTCTGATGTAGTAGGGAGTTTAAAAAATGTACTAAACAAACAATTTAACATTATACGCTGTTTACTTAAAATTTGGCGTCTTTGTTTAAAAATATATTGTCTTTTCTTGTAATCATGCCCAAGAAAAAAAATATTTTATTCTTTAGTATTTAGTTACAAATGTATACGAAAATGTTTTTGTGTGATTTTTAATAGCTATATTAGTAACTTGCAATAAAGAATTTTCACTCGGCATTAAAATTCTTATTTTACCTAAGCAATAAATTGTATTTGTTTTTATAAATTAAAAAATTTATATTTAATAATTTTTTTTAATTTTAATTCAAAAATTTATATTTTTGAATGTGTTTACTTTTTTTTATATTTTGAAATTAAAAGTTGTTAATACTATTTTTGAGGATTTCACTGATTGTTCTCTCAAATACACCATTAGGTAACTAAAGAAATTATATTAAAGATATTGATAAATTACCACATAAAATTAAACGAAAATAAAATTATTAAATTTATAATTGATTAGTATAATTATTTATTATAATCTACAAATGATCATATAATATCATTGCGTTATGTCATATTTTAAAACATGATGTATTTCTCAAGGAGTTGCTCTCTATGATTATTTAACATTACGTTGAAAGAATATTATAATAAAGATAAATCTATAAATGATTTATTTTAATTAAAATATAAAATTATTCATGTGAAGTTTAGTTATAACTGAAATGTTACCGACTAAAAACATAAGTGATAGTAATTAAGAGATAATACTTAAATTTAAGAAAACCAAAAAATAAAAAACAGCATATTGGGACAAGTATAATTGTATCTGATAGTGATTAAAATATCATTAATAATGCTTCTATGCAAATCTGTAGACAATATTTAATTTTTATAAGAAATCGTAGAATTATTCCATAAGCAACAGCAAACCTATCTTCTTAATTATATACTCATTATGAGTTTTATGATTTTTAAGTGTAATACATGAATAAATAGATATTATATAAATTAAAGTTATTATTAAATTATTATTTAATAATTTAGTATTGTAATTATTACGGAGAAATTATAAAAATGAATTAAGTTATGGTCTTTTGTCATATCAATTAATCATAAGACATTAGTAGCTAGAAAATCTTTTGTAAAGATCATTCAACTTTTTAATATACATGTTGGATTGACATTAAATGATGCAAAACATCTCAATCAAAATACTTATAACTAAAACTTATCGTTTTTTTTTGTAAAAGGCGGATTTAAATCGTGTACTTAATCCTTCCTCCAACATGACTATTTTTTTGACCTAAAATGTATGTAAAATTATTTAAATAAATTTGAAGTAAAAAATTAAAACAACACGAAAAATTATGATTTTTTAGACAAGAATTACATTTTTTGTTAAATTTCAGCAGCCATTTGCGCTTAACGAATTTTGTTTTTTAACTTATAATATATCACAAAAGTTTTAATTTAACATATGTTTAAAGTTAGGAGTATTTCTGGAACTTTTTCATAAGTTAAATTGAAAAAGTTAACTTTTCATATAAAAGTTTCTACTATTTTGAATTCTCCCAACTATACACCCAGAGAAAAACCTCGATCTATATAATAAATTCATTGTTCAATTTGATAAATATATCATTACTATTGAATCAATGATATATTTATCAATATGATATTTTTTTTTCTTGTCTTGAACAATAATTATTTATAAGAATAGTTATTTTGTTCGTATTAATAAAACATTATCATAAACCCTTGATAAAATTTCTCTTTCAATTTTGATTGAGGTTTTTCTTTGGGTGTAGGCAGGTGAAGGATCAGATTTTAAAAAGAAATATTCCTATTGAAATGAACATACTTAAGATATTTATAAATAAAAACAATGTTTTAATTCATTTATTTTTAAATCTGTCAAAATTTACCGATTTTAAAAATTGTACTTTTTGGAAGATTTTTTTTAATTGCAGTAGGTAAGAGGAAAATGTTTAAAAATGTTAAGGGTAATATCTTAAACGATTTGTGATCTTAAGGTATCGTTGTGAAAATATGGTCTAGTGAGAGCTAATTAAAAGTAATGACACAAAAAAAAACACATCATAGTAAAATTTATACCTTCTCAGATTCACATCGAAGTTATAAAAACTGTGAATGTAGGAGCAAAGTTTTTTATGGTATCTAATATCTAAGATTTTGCTGTGAACTAAAGAAGTAATTTAAATGTAAAATTTAAAAGTAATAGTACACGTATTAATTTATATAATTTATGAAGTATATTTAACTATATTAAATCATAAATTATGGCATATAAGCAGAATTGTTAATGTACTGTTTATAGATAGTATGTTGGCAATTAATTAGTCAATTTAAATTTAATTTTCATCGTAGAAACTCGATAATATTTAAAATTGCTATTAGGGTAATTATTTAAATATAACTACGTTATACAATAGTTTTACTTATCGTGTTCTGGTAATTACTTGACAAATCATTAAAATTAAGTCGCGCTTCCTCTGATTATGTATAATAAGGACTTAACATGAAATACTTTAGTTATTAATGCGCGCAGTGAAAAATAAATATCTATAAGTTAAGGCCATAATTAACTAGTGGTGTGACTATTTGTATAGTATCCATTTATATTTTCTTGGAGTATTTTATTCTATGATGGTAAACAACTTCATTTCCTTAATTTTCTAATTACAATACGAGTATATTTTATTAATTAGATAAATTTTAATTGTTAAAAATTACACGGATTCTCTAAATTAAATTTACTATTAAATTATCTATTATTTATTAAATGCTATAAACTGATTTTATAGTTTCATTTCATGAATATTTTTCGATTATTTATAATGAGATAGATATTCTTTAATCATTTTTAAATTTTTTTGTGTCAAAATTACAATTTATCAATTCAAACTAATAAATAGAAAATGAACAAATAAATAAAATCAGTGACTTTGTGCGCATAACCCTCAAGTTCAATTTTTTTTTTTATAAACTATTTGTTATTATTATTAGGAATTCCTAAGTCTCATTATTTTTAAAAGAAGTTTATGAATATTATTACTTGATGAGATATTTACGTGTTTGTGAAAATATGTATAATTAACTAGCATATATCATAAGTTAGCTGAGTTAATTAATTTAAATCCCGTTCTCTTGATAAATTTTAATTTTTTGACTTAAAATATGCAAACATTACAAACTTTTTATATTTATCCTTTGTAATACTAAAATATTGATCAAGTATGAATATATGTTGGTAATATTCTATTCGTTCAAAAAATTTTGTTGAGAATGTATGTCTCTGAATGTAGTGGAATAAGAAACGTTGATTAAAAGGCTTTTGTATAACATTCCCTGATTACATAAATAAGTACAAAAAAGTTATTAAGTAACAATAATTCTATTTTATATATTTCAATTTACTACTTTGAAAGTTTGACGTATTTTGTTTTCCTTGGTATGATTAAATCAATGTATATTGTATGCATGTATGTGACTGAATTGTGTTGAGTATTAATTAATGTTTGATAGTGCTTTGTATTATAAAGATCAATAAGAATTAAAAATAGGTGCAAAATATGGTATCTAAAGGAGGTTTTGACGCCCCCAATGAAGGGAAAAAAATGAAAGATAAAATTATACAGAAATATTTTTAAGAAGGAAGAACTTAAGTTAGATCTTGCAAATATTTTGTTTAAATTAATGTAATTAATACTTAGTGAGGTAATCGAGTAAAGTATCTACTTAAACAATTATGAAATATAATGAATTTATATATTATGAATTTTTACCTATATTTTTTAAAATTTTGTTTCCTATGTGTAAAGTTGCTTTTTGGAGGCAACCCAATTAATTTTTAAGCGTCAATTAGCCGCTTTACGTCGTGAACTACTTGGCCTCGACTGACAGTCTAATTGTATTTTCTTGTAAGAATTAATCATCAAACTTGAGTAGATTCATCTAAGTTTAAAATAATTGTATGCTTAATACACTTTATTATATTTTATCTATCCTAAACGTCCTCTCTGAAAAAATATACCTGTGTATTTAAAAATTATAATTTTTAAAATCGATTTTTGCCAGTGATGGAAATGAGAAAAATTATAAAAAAATTTGAGGGTATTATCTTAAACAAGATGCAATTTGTGATCTTTGACGTATCGTTGAGATAAATCGGTCGAGTGAGCGTTGATAATAATAGTGAGAGACACAATAAATTAATAAACACATCATGGTAAAATTAATACCTTCTTAGCTTTGCATCGAAATTAAAATGATATATAATTCAATGATATTGGTTATAAATTTAAACTACTTTTTTAATCAATTTATTTATATATTAATCCTTTTAGTGTTTACGTCCATTGCAAAAAATATCATTTTGTGGTTTGCTTTGTTTTTTAATTATAAGACGCATAACTGCTTTAGAGCATTACAATTGACGTTAAATTATGGTAACCTCTATACGTATCGAAAAAAAATTGCTCTAAAATAATAATACAAAAATCAAAAATAAATTTGAATTAAAAATAATTTGAAATCTTTTATAGACAAATAACTTAGACGGGAATGTTCTAATTCAATTTCCAATAAAATAAAACTGAAGGAGTTAAACATTTTATTTTCTACAGCTATAAAACTTAAAAATTGTACTTTATAGGTTAATTAAAAAAAACTACATATTTTTTTCGATGTTCTTTTGGCATTCATTTATTTGATGTTTTGTAGGAAACTACCTGTACATTATTTACCATTCCTAGTCTTTAATTTGACATAATAAAACACGCAATTCTAATATATATATATATATGTACATAGTGTTATATTAAAAATGAGTCAAGGTTAAAATACTTTGCTGTATAATTCGCTAAAGAAAAATGAGTCTCTTTCGTTCAATAAATATCCTTTAAAAAAAATGTAATGCTTTTAAAATTATATATGTGTAATTATCAATATCTATTAATTATAGAAATTTATATTAATTTTATTTTTTAATGTATAAATTATATATGCACATGAAAATTTCTATTTCTTAAAATGTTTAAATTACATATGCAATATTTTTTTGAGAATTATAATTTACAGTGTTTTGTAAGATAATTTATTAATAGGAATGGCTGTAGCTTGAAAATTTTGTCTTCGAACTCTTCAATTCTATACTCGTTAAAATTTAAAATATTTAACTCAAAAAAACAGGAAAAATACTAAACAATCGCGTATACATATTAAATATATATAAATTTTATAATATCTATCATATCTAGAACAATGTTACCATCATCAGCGCTAAAAACATACTGATATACAAATATATAAAAACACGGATGATGATAATAACAGCGTTAATGTAGGTTAAATTGTTCCCAAAATACATACATGCGAATGTTTTAGTATTTTTCGTAATTTTTCAGTTTTATTCATAGTTGGATTTATATGAACTTAACCAACGAACTTTAGAAAACACCAAATTATATTATCTTCTCCCTTCTACCCCACAAAAATATTTTTTTTAATATTTATGACTCAAAAAGTGTCTATAAGGGGTTTAAGCATAAAACATAGAGTAGGTATATATTGAAATAATTATAAAGAATAAACGGTCCAACAGATAAAAAGAATTGTAATTTTTTATTATAGTTTGTAATTTTTTTTTTTTTGCTATCGTAAAAATACTTAAAAATAGTGGTTCCCAATTAAGAAAATTGAAATTATGAATTTTTTAACTTGGTAAGGATGAAAAAAAATGTTAACTTCATGTTATTATAGATTATTAATTTTGAACCTGACAAAAATTTTAAAATGTCAATAGTTCCTGAGAAAATGAGTGTCTTAACACATTTAGATCATTCTGTACAGCAGTACTTTTGTGAACTCAAGATAAAACTATGTTAATTCAATAATAATGTGCAAAAATACAACTAACTTTTAATTATTTAATAATTGAACGAAGGTTTTGTTAAAATTCAGTTTTAATAGCATTTTCTAATTTTAACACCAATTTGCAAACTTTAGAGTTATATCAAATTTTATATGGATAGATTAATTATGTATGATGTTGTTATGTAACATTTTATTTTACTGTAACCGTTAATTTTTTTAGAAAATCAATACATTTGTGTTAATATGAACTGTATAGAAATTTATGAATGTATCCTTAGATCAAAAATGATACAAGTATTTCAAACTCATATTTAACGTTATATCTTGTAGACTACTGGGTCATAGTAAAGAATATAGAAGAATCTAAATAACTTGGCGTGGCGGAATATTTTATCCGATACCTAAGCACGTATTTTAATTTACGTTCATTAAAAATCCTTTTAATTCCATAAGTTTTGATCTTTAATAGGACAAAATTATGGGTATTGCAATTTGTATAAATTATTTAAAGAAAACATGCCCTTAAAAAATTCTCAACTTTAATAATAAAACGTCGTTTGTACAAACCTTTCATTTGGATATTAATTTATACCTACGTTGAATAAAAACTATAGCTTATTGTAATTTTATCGATTATGATGTAAGTAGTGTTTTTGAATGAAAATGTCTTTTTATTATTTTTACAGGATGGTACTGGAGCAAAAAGAAAATCATAATACAGATGGAATCAGAAATAAAAGTATTTCCTACATCTGCAACGATCGTCTTAACGATAAAGTCTATTTTAATACTGGTATGCCTCCTGCAAACGGGAATTTGGTTAGTAAAAACAATTATGTCATTATTAGATAATTATAATGAAGCGTTTAGTTTTATTGTTATACAGAGTAATTGTTAATCATAACAATAAGACTCATGCATTATCTTTAAAAATATTGAACATAACATTATTATTTTTTTTTAGACGTTTGTAGTACTACCCCCCTTAAATCTTTATCAAATTCACCTATTTAATTGGAAACATATGTGTTTAATTAATTTACAAACTAGAAAATGATCTATCTAAGAAAATTACTGAGTCGATAAAAACTTTTGGATTAGTAATTTGAAAGTTGTTAAATCTTTAATATAAAATCTAGTGGTGAAGCTGAGATTTTATTTTTATCTCTACACATTAATAAACCGCACTATTTCTCTCACCTTATTATAAAAATGTTAATATTTTTTAAAATATTAGTCCAAAAGTTGTTACCAATCAGTCCGTTTTAGACTTAGATTATTTTTTAAGTTTTTTTGTAAGTTGATTAAACATATATGTTTCCATTTAAATAACTGAAGCTGATAAAATTATAACGAGGTTCATAGGGGGTAGGAACAAAAAATTTTAATTATAAAACGTAAAATATTATAAATTTTCAAAAAGAATTAATATTATTTTTTATACTTTTAAAGATATTTTAACTATCATTCTGTTTATATTAATAAATATAAAAAGTGTGATTGTGATAGTGTTTTCCTATTGATCCATATATTTTTAATAGGAAAACATTGTACTTATTTATTTATTTATTTTTTATTAAAATAATACGCCTTTAATAAATGAATAATTGCCACCAGGTAGAGAATATACGCTAATTGTCATTTTTTAAGCATTTAGTTAGATAATCTATAGGATGATTATTTTATCATGAATCACTTAAAATTAATCGAGAAATGAAATGACAGTCATAATTTTAAATTGTTAATAACTTTTGAAAAACTGGTCTAAGTTGGTAATCATCAGTTGTTATCAGTAGTTTTCCTAATTAGATCATTATCTAATAAATAAGCTAATTAATCATGTATGCTACAATTTGAAAAAATGAAGCTTGCACTTTTACAGGGGTTGAACTTAAAAAAAACTTCATAATTGATAAATTAAGAACAACATAAAACAAAAAAAAACCATTAAAAAAATAATCAATATTTTTCGATTAATCAAGTGGTTCATAATAAAAGAATCACTCTGTATAGTTAGTGAATCATATTTTATGTTATCAACATCGTAAACATGTGGAGCATGTACATAAGTAAGAATGTTTTATTAAAGATTAATATATGGCATTGTGTAAATACTAAATGCTTTTAACAAAAAGCTTATCTTAATCGTCTTAAAAAATATATATTAATTTATTAGTAATAGAAATAAAGATTTGTACCTAAGAAAAGTCGGAACTTCTAAACTCATTGATGCGTCACTGTTACTAACGCGCCATTTAATTGTTTATTGGCTATTTTATATGATAGTATTGTAATTATAAAAAAGGGAACATGTATTATCAGTATTAAATATTTATAGATACACAACTATACTTCAAATTACAATTGAAAAGCTATGTTATTATTTTTACGTTTTTAAATGTATTTACATATATTGATTGATATAGAATTTTGCAATAACAATTATAATTTGTGCTCTTTGTAAATTTTATTATTATGTTGTGTCGTATATTTACTAATTTATTTTACTGTACTAATTTTTTGTTATTTATTGATAAAAAAATGATTTAAAAAGTTAACGTGAAATTGGGTACGAAATTACATGATATGGGACACTATTTTGTTAATGAATTTATTTTTTATATAATTATTTTATTCTTTATAGAATGCATATTAGTTCATTTAATTATGTTTTTGTAATATGATCTTGAGATCTTTGTTGTGAAGCTATCAGACATTCGAAGTTATCACTTCTATTAGTTCCTAATTAGTTTACGAATAGAATTAAAATCGCATCGACTTATTTTGATAGGTTTGTTAAACAAATAGAAATTATACGTTTTAAAATTCAAACATGTTAAAAACGAATACTACACTTTATAAATTACTGATGAGCTTCAATTTAATGCCGGTAAATATCTAATTTCTAAAATAACTAATTTCGTTATAGAAAATAAAAATATTTTTATGCATATCAAAATGCCAAAAAAATTCATACTCTTTTTGTTTTACTTTGTCTTCAATTTTTTAAATGATAATATAGAAGTGAGGTGTTAAATTTTTATGTTAAATTGTTCATATTTTTAAGATTCTTTTTTTAGGATTGGATATTTAATATTATAACAAAAACGGAGTTTTTAATATTTTTTAAGACTTAATTATTTTAAAATAATAGCTTATTATTTTTAATTATTTGAATTTTATTTTTTTAAAGAATGAGCAGTGTCAACGACAACCATTGTTAGGTTTATGTAAAGAAGGAGCCTCTTGTGTAAAAAATAATGGTGCTGATTGGAAATCCATAAATGGAAGTAGTGGTGTACATTCCGATTCCTTGGATAACCACCAAAGATCTAAAACATGCTGTACACACAATGATATAGTTGAAGATAAACAAAGACCAGATAGTGGAATTATGGCTACTGAAGATGATGAACAGTTTAGCCAAACATATCCAAATAGCAATGCTCATGGAACACCAGTTTATATTGATATGAGTCCAAGTTGTATTAATATATCACCAATAAAAAACAAAATAAAATATCCTCAAGAAAAATTCAAAACATTTATTGGTAATAAGTCAATATTTTTTATTAAGACATCTAAAATTTCCATTACTTGATTGGTATAATTTAATAATTATTATTTAATATTTTTTGTAGCATTCATTTTATTACTTATAAATCTACTAATTAATACAACATCATTAGCTATGGTTCACGAAAGAGTTCCTGATCGTACATATTATAAACCTTTACCAGATACTTTTTTGGATATTATACCTGCTAGTGACTGGGCATTAGATGTATCAGAAATATTAATCATGATAAGCACAAACTTATCGTTTATAGTTATTGCATGTCATAAATATAGGTAAATAAATTATTTAATTTTGAGTTTTTTTAAGTATAAAATTATAGAAATTAATAAAAATAAAAATAAAAAATAAATATAATTAACCTAGCACAATAAAAAGCACTTGAATAAGTCAATGTTTACCATATTTTATGGGTTAAATTTATTTATTAACATATTGATTACCTATTGACAAAAATACATTTTCTGAAAAGATTATTATTACCTCAAAGTGATAGGAAATATTATGGAGATATTGTTGAAACAAATTAAGATAATTTAATTATAATTTTACGACAACAGAAAAATATTAATTCAGTAATGCTATCCTGAATTGTGCAATTTGTAGACACATTATTAACTAAATTTACTAAATAGGATTTTAAACTGTTTTAACGTAGTGGTAGTTTTATAATATTTAAAATATAATAAATTTACTTGCAATATTTGACAAATGTATTTTTTTTCATGATTCAATTTGAATGATCAAGTTAAAATGATCAATTGGTCAAACGAAGTTAGGCTTATTAAAAGTTTAATAATAATAACTAAGATAGTTGTAAATTCTTATCACAATTAATTGAACTGTGACATAATTTGATCAGTTAGTGAAAATAAAAATTTTCATATATGATAGCTAATATAAGATTCTTATTAACAAATAAAAACAAAACATTCCTTATCACAAGAGGCTCCACTCAGTATACTGCTGAAGATTGTAAAACTTTTTTTCTTGTGTAATTTTTTATATTACTCGGCCTTTTGTAGGCTCTAAGCAAGATGCCTATAGTGCCTAATGAATAATACTAAGGTTATTGAATTAATGAAATTTCCCTATTAAAAATCAACATATTTTAAATTTGATATTCTATCAAGTGTTTCTATATTTATTATGAATTAGAAAAATAATGGTAGAAAAGATTCTAAATTTGTTTATATTATTTTATCTCGTGTAAAAATATTATTATTGAAAACAACAAATTTGGTAATCATGTAACATTTTTTTGTTTGTTTTATGATTATGTTATCCTATATATGTTTTTTGCATATAACTATTATTTGTACTCTTTTTAAATGATTAATTAATTTTTTTATTGCTATCAGGAGCAAGAAATCGTTATAATTATAACATTTAAAATGAAAAATTTTCTCAACACCTAATCAAAAAACAAAAAATCAAAAATATGCGATATCAATAAACGTAAAATATCTTTGAACATAATACAACTGTAACGTAAAAAAATTCTTATTATAACAAAAATTAATTTGTTTCAAACATTATATTTGAAAAATTTTATGAAAGAAAAAATTAGTTATTCTCCATGTTAAAAACTTCTTATAGTAGTGAATAATTTTTCAAACCCTTTTAATGTTAAATGTAAAAATGTAGTAACATTAAAAAGTGAAACAAAAAAAATTTAATTACGTTTTAATATTAATAACTATAAAAAATGAAATGAAAAACAATTCTTAAATCTCACTCCTGATTGCAATTTTGTTGTTAAAATTTATAAGGGTAATCAAGTTTTTAAACATTTTGTATATGTATACATTTTTTTTTTTTTAAATCCTTGATCAATACATTTTTTGTATCAATGTATCGAATTATTAGAATTTAAACTAAACATAATTTTAAATGAAAAATTTTTCAAAAACAATTCTTGACATAATTTTTAATTTAATTCCTGAATCACTTTATTGAATTAGAAACCTATTATGAAAAGCAAAATTTTCCTAAATTGTTTTATTGATAATTAAATATATTAAAATTATTAAATTTTTTTTAGTGTATATTAAACTTGTTTGTTTTAGGTTTATTGTCGTACGTCGATTATTGTTTATGTTATCTCTCTTGTATTTACTACGGTCAGTAACAATGTTTGTGACTGTTTTACCTGTGGCTAGTACAACATACTACTGTTCACCCAAAACTAATGAAACAAGTCCAATGCTAATTGCTAAACGTGTATTTCAGTTAATTTCAGGGTTTGGTTTATCAATTAATGGAAAACATACATTCTGTGGTGATTATATGTATAGTGGTCACACTACCATACTAGTAATGAGTTATTTGATGATATCTGAATGTGCGTGTGAACAATTAAACAAAAAAAAAATTTTTTTTAAATCATATAATTAATATTTTTAGATTCCCCCAAAAAATGGTTTATTCTACATTGGTCTTCTTGGTTAATGGCAGTCATTGGTGTTGTAATGGTCCTTATTGCTCATGGACATTACACAATTGATGTAATCATAGCTTATTTTTTTACCACACGTCTTTTTTGGATGTACCATACATTAGCTAATAATAATATATTCAAGGTATTTATCTTCTTAAACCTTAAATATAATGCTAAAACATCATCTCAAAAACTTTATTAGTAATTATTTAACAATTTAAAATTGTTTTAATTTTAATTAAAATAATTTTCAAGTAAAACTATAAATTATTCAATTTATCATCTTTTTGTATGATTCTAAATTTTTAAATCATAAGTAATGATGTTTTTGTTATTATTTTGTTTAAATAATGAATAAAATGTTTAATATTTTTTATTAAATGTTACAAATGTTTTAATATAGCAATCTAGCACTTATAACTACTTGTCACGAGCTTGGTGGTTCCGGATTTTTTGTTATTTTGAAGAAAATATAGATGGTCCTCTACCTAGGCAATATGACTGGCCTTTACCATGGCCTAAATGCTTTGCAATTTCTAATTACCAAAACCAAAATAGTTAGCCCATGATGTAAATCATGTCCATTGTCAACGTTCCTCAGCTACTATGAAAATTGATTTATACCTTACTCGATTAACATTTCCGCATTTTAAACTATAATATCTTATTTTTATAAATTATAAAACTCCAAAATTTCTATGTATAATTTGATTTATAATAGCTATAATGATTTAATCATATAGTAACTATTATGAAATTATAAAGCTGTAAGATAAAAATTTTTAATTCTAAAATCTATTACTATTATTTTACAGACTAATTGTTATTTTTAAGAAATAGTATAACCAAAATTGTTAATTATTTAAACAAAATCTCATACTTAAATGTATATTGGTAAGTTCTTTTTTTATACTTATTTGTTTGGTAAAACTTTACATAATTTTACTACAATTAATTATTAGACTACTTGGTTTTTATCTGTTATATTAATTTTTTGTTTTTATTACTTTGCCTATAATGGTATTTGTTTTATTTATTATTTTTTATGAAATTATAACATGATTTGTTATAGTGTGTTTATGTATATATTTATTATTTATAAAATGACTTGTTATTAACTTAATTCTTAATTAATATCTTCTAGTCTTAATGTTAAATTTTATTAGGTTATTTTGCATTTAAATGATATTATGTGACATTTACTACTCAAAGCTCAAGATCTTATCATAACCTTAAAATTAGTAAATTTATTTATTTTAACTAATTTTTTTTCAAGCCATATTACTTAAGCTATCAGCCAACTGTTATTCAAAAAATGATAAATTTCTAATAAATTCATTTTTTCTAAATTAAAGCTAAATTTTTTTTAAATATAACTTTTATTTTTTGTATTTTCAATGAAATAAATGAAAATTAAACATTATCCATTAATCTCTTCTAGTTTTCATTTATATCCGTCCTTAATATTTAAAATGTAACTACGATAGATAAATAAAAATTTTAATACATTTTCATTCTTAAAATAACACATACATTCCTAAACTATCAAACTATTAAGTTTCTAATGTAGAAACACTTTAGAATAAATATTTTACATTCCGCATTATCTAATTTTTAGAATTATTTTAGAAAATAATATTTGTAGTTATGTACAGAGTTTATATTTCACTTAATATTTTTTTAAGTACAGTTTAATGTCATATTATATTATTAAGCAAAATAAATGTTAATCTATAGAAATATTGCCTTATTGTTTATCTTTGTAAGTGTATGATGTTATGAAGAATCACATTGCCTAGTTGTGTAAAAGTTGTTACCTATCTAGATAAATTATTTTTGAAAAATTCTAATGGAGTTATGAGGAAAATTAATATTTGTATTGCAAGATTGTTTAATGTATGTTTCTGTGATCTGAGTATAAACAATTATTAGTTTCTTATTATTGTTGATTGTAAAGAATTTTTGAATTTTGGTTTCTATCAGTATTTTTAATTTAAATAAAATTATGTTTGTAGTGTTTTTGGTTATATTTTTTTATCTAGTTACCATATGTTTTGAAAACCTTTTACATATTAATTTTTGTATCAGTTAAATTTATATATAAAAAAAATTATTTTAAATTATTGTGTGGCTGAGTTAGTAACGTGGCAGTGCTTAATGCACACTCACTAGCTCAAAATTGAAGTCGCCATCACGCTCTCTCACGACGTACTTATCACACGGTACATTTTATAAATGGTTAAGAAACTTATGTTTTGGTTTCAACGGTTATAACTAAAATACCTTAGTAGCAAGAAAAAAATGTATGTAATTAGTAAAAATAAATGTATATTTATAAATAAATAAAAAGAAGGTACAGTACATCATTTGTTATTTTTGTTTATTATTCAACATTAACATATAGTTTTTTTGTAATCCACTGAAAACGTCTAAGAGTACAATTGTACACTTTGCCATCCTCCAAAAAACGTTCCTGATATTAAATTATTATTAGTTACTTTGTCATAGTATTCATAGATGTAAATAATGTTTTGAACAAGCAATGCCAAGTTCAAAATACTATTTCTGCCTATGAGTACTATGATAAAGCAAGTAATAATAACTTAATATAAGGGACGTTTTTTGGAGGATGGGAAAGTGTACAATCGTAATCCTAAACGTTTTCAGTGGCTTACGAAAAAACTATGTGATAATGTTGAATAAATAAATAATTTAGAAGAATTAAATGTTGCAATTTAAAAATATATTAAGTTTTAATATTTGTTCATACATTTTATTTACTAAAAGCTGTGAATATCTTCGCTAAAATCAAAATTTATAGACTTCCTTTAAAATATTGTACTAGTTATATTTTGGATGTTTTTAATTACTTATATTAATGTACTATACATTTTTATTGTTGGTATAATAATGTATAAGATTTGTGTTTTTTAATGACTACTTTTTATTATTATATAATTTATTTTGAATTTTTAGCTAAGTATTAATGTTTTTTTTCTAATAAAATAAATTTAAAGTAAATGAATAAGCTTCAATTGTTTCACAATAATTGCCTTCATTTAACATGAATGTTGAACAAAAAATTGATAAATTTTTGTTTGCTCAAAAATTAATAGAGGCCCAAAAATATATGAAGTTTGGTCACTATAAAAAATCGCAGCTCTAAAAAAACTAAAATTACTTTATTGTTGAATATCAGCTTTAATCTACCACTCGCATAATTTATGTATAATAGTTAAAAACAATAGCTACAGTTTGTTTATAAATAGCCAGAAAACTTTAAGTTTAACAAGTGACTCTATCGGTTGCAACTTAATATACACTAAACTTTAGTGATACTATAAATAAATAAATTCACACATACACACACATGAATTTATAACATTGTGTCTAATGTAAGTATAACATGATAAAAAGTAACTGTAAAATGAAAAAAATTGGAAAATAAATTTTAGTACTCATATTAAATGTAATGTAACTCGAAAAATATTTGTTTAAATGAAAAAATATTATATACCTTTTTTATTTAAAATTATCTTTTAAACAACTTTTGTACGAAACTTTTTTTTGTAAATTAAATATTTTTTGAGAAAATTAAGAAAGTTCATATTTTTGAACTTTTGCGAGGCTGTAAAAAAAAAGCTCAAGTCCAATCGATGAGGACTTTTAGTATGTCATTATACATATCTTAATTCAACTTTAAAAAAAAAAAAAATTTGATTGGGAATTTTTTCCGCCATTTTTCCTTCGTTGACTGGTCTAAATAGCGATTATACTATTATAGCAACCTATAACGACGAGTGTACACGTATTAATTCTAAAAATAAATTACCCAATATAGTAATATACTAATATTTTACTATATAGACGAAGCTGCCAGTCGTCCAAAACCCATAAGAAAGTATAGCAGAGAATGAGGGTAGCAGAGATGAGAATGCTTAGATGGATGAGTGGAGTGACTAAAAAAGATAGAATAAGAAACGAGCATATAAGAGGGAGTATAGGTATAGCGTCAATCGTGGATAAGATGAGAGAAAATAGACTTAGATGGTTTGGTCATGTTATGAGGAGAGAAGAATCGGAAGCTGTATGAACAGTTATAGAAATGAATGTTGAAGGAAGAAGAGATAAAGGAAGACCAATAAACAGATAGAGGAATGCTATTGTATGTGATATGAGGACAGCTGATGTGATCGTAGATGATGTGGGAGATCGTATCAAGTAGAACTTTAAGATAAGGGTGGCCGATCCCAAGTAGTTGGGATAAAAGCGAGGAGAAGAAGAAGAAGACTAATATTTTAATGTATGGACGACGCTGCCGGTCGTCCAAAACCCGTTCATAAGATCGCAACTGAACCGTACCCGCATGCAAACGAATGGCACCTCGCTTATAATACATGTTTCAAAATATTGTTCAGTCGAGCTGTAGATCGTCCAAACACTGTTCGTGTGTGCGTGTGTAACCGCATATACTGAGGAAAACAACTTTAATGTCCGCACACGACAAATGTGTTTTAACTATTTTACTATTTAAAAATTTGCATTTTTAATAAAATAAAAGATTTTTTTTTAACATAAAATTAAACATGAGTTATTAATACATTTTATTATCACTGAAATTTATGTTTTATTCAAGTGTGTTATATAATAATAATTATTATTTATTTATTTTTAATAAAAAATGGTATTATTCATTCGTGTAATATTGAAATGAAGTAATTCAATTACTTAGTTTCATTTCAACGATACTATAATATCATATAATGAGGGTAGTTTAATGAATTCAATATAGTAGAAATAATATTAGAAATTTTAATAGGGATTGAGTTATAGGCTTCGATTTTAATTGTCTCAACATAATATTGACCGAATGACTTCTTTATGTATTTAAAACGTTGATGACAGTAGATTTAAATTATCGTCTTGCATTGTCATGAGCGAATACTTAGGATGTGGTTTTCATCAAAAAACTAAAATATCTTGATAATTAATTGTAAGAGATTCAGAGGTTCTAACGCCAACCAAAAAGGATTTTCCAAGTTTTGTTTGTTTTTTAAGTTTAATTGATAGTTTTTATTTTAACAACTGTAATTTTTAACGGAAAAGTCAATGTAAAGTTGGAGACAAATTCGGCAAAATTGGTTCTTCATTAGATAACTGTTTCTCATGATCCGTTGGCAATGAAACTGATTTTGAATTTTCCAAAATAAGTTTTTTCGGTTATCTAATTTACTTAATTGAGCTTTTCGCAAATAAAAATTGTTCTAGAAGCTATTATTTAATCAAAAAACTAATTTATCATTTTTCTTTTTTACATTGTTGTTTCAAAATTACTTGAAAAATCTGTTTATTAAATAAAATTTTATTTTAGTCAAAATTATTGAATTTATTGAATAAAATTTAATTTAAAAAAAAAGAACTTTTCAATTTCTGCTGATATGGTTAGGTTTTGTTATTGTAGAAACTATAGTTTCTACTATGACAATATTAAAACCAAAACGTTTTTTGCTTCTCATATAAAATTGGTAAAATGAGACTAAGACTATGAAGTTTTGCCACGTAGCCAACGATGTATTTAATGTATAATGTATGTTGATTATTACGTGTATTGTATACTGATAATTGTTTTCTAGTAAATAATTAATAATAATTATTTTATTTAAATAAAATATTTTTGATTTTAAATATATAACGCGCATGATCGTAGATGAAATATTTACTGGGGTTAATATAAAATAAATTTGTTTAATAACCATCTCAGATTTTTTTTTAATTTGCGAATTTAGAGTCACTTCTTTTTATAACGACACTGTTCTAGAATAAAAATATATCATTACTTATAAGAGTTCACAGTAATATAATTATGTTTATAATTTATTTTCAAAATAACGATAGGAATATTTAATATTTATGAAATGGATTTATACACATTTAAGTATTAAAAATAGTGATGAAAGAAAACTGATTTTAAATTTAAATATTTAATGGTATGCCGCGGTTTTAGTTTTTATCATTAACCATTGAGTTGTCGAGAACGTGGCCTCCACAACGCTCGCGCATTTGTGTCACTCAAGTTCATAGACGTGGAAATGTAGATGGCGCATTAGGTAATCTATTGAAGTCGTTGTGTTATATGCATCATACATATGTGCGAGAGAGCACGATTCCTAAATAAATTTTCCATGAGATTATTAACGCATATAACAAGCATTGTAAGAACTTAGAAACTCCTTGGATAAAAAATGCTAGCTTCTGTTTCTCCCGCACAACTATTGGCTTCAATCTTTTAGGTGTAAAAATAATGTAATGTGCGGTCAACAGATTATACGTCTATAGTTGAGCTGTGTACTTAAAATCTTGAAATGATAAGGTTTTTGACGTGGCACTAATTACATAGATATTGTTTCTTGGCATTATATACTAGTCGTCAGTTACAAACTGACGACATGTACGTATACATAAGTTCTAGATTATGTGTACTGTTATGGCCTAAATTATTTTATTTCCACGTATATAGTGGTTGATTAATTAGTTGATTCAGAATTTACAGTATTTTAATATATTTTTTTGCACTCAGGTTTTGGTAAGTGCATTTTATAAAAATATGTATTAAAATATTACAATTAATGTATAGAATAAGTATTGACATTCTTTTCCTATTGTTAATTGTGTATAAAAATATTGAAAATTCATTCGAGTTATAATTTTGTATTTAGAAATGAATTCGCAATTTGTGCCTGATCAGTTTCAACAACAGTTTAACATGCCATCTTCATCTGAACAACAGCATAATAGTCAGCACCATCAATTATCATTAAATGGTTAGTAAAGTTCATTAATAAAAAAGTAGTTTTTAGTTAAAATTAGTTTTATAGTGATAATTTTTATTTTCTTGACAATCTTAAGTTTTTATCTACATAGTTTAAGTCCATTTGATATGTTTTTATGATTAAATAAATATTTTTTTCTATTTAATTTCTATAATTCTTAATTAATATTACTTAGTATTTTAATTATTCAAAGAGCTAACAATAATTTATTATTTATCAATTAGAGCAAATACCTGTACCCGATAGAAATGATAGTCAACAAGGTTCAAGAACATTTATGAATGGAACACAAAGTTATTGTAATCAAAATACCTCCTCATTTTTTAAATTAAACGAATCAAGTACAAGCATTCCAAATGATATGCAGTCCTTACAACAAAATATGAACCATTTAAGTTGTAGAACTGAACTTTCTGAAAACCATCAAATAGAGCAATCATCAGCTTTTTCATCTCAACCTTCAAAATCTTTTACATTAAATCAGAATGAGGTACAATCTAATACTGAAAGATTTCCACAGACACCTAATACTTTATATCAAAATGGCTCTCCAATAAACGTTTTCTCACAACAAACCAATGTTACTCAATTTTTAAAATCCACTAGCGATGCCTTAAATAGATCATCTCCTTCAAATAACTTATTGAATGGATCTGAGCACTTAAAAACAATTTCTAATGAATTGGAGTCAAATAAGCAACAAGAAATTTCATCAAATCAAGCAAATGCTTTGGATAATACAAGTTTTTCCCAGCAGTCAAATCATAAAGTAGACCGGTCAAACAATTCATCTTTTAGTTCGGAATTAACTCAATTTCAGTCAAATGCTTATCAAAATACTGAATTACCAACTCAAGATTCTAATAGTGAGCACCGGCGACCAAGTTCTTCTCTTAATGAACAGCCAATTTCATATCCAGGTTTAACACTTTTATCGAATAATGGTGAGCAACAAGTAATTTCACCACAATCAGGCCAACCAGTACAATCTAGAATAATTCCAAGTCAATCGGGAATCCTTCCTATGCCGAATCTTACTACACAACAACTTGGATTTTCTTCGCAACCTGTTCAGTTTCAACAAAACTCTGGGGTTTCCCAACAGTCTGTTTTAACGCCCAACTGTTTAAATGCTCAAAATTCTAATAAACAAGGATTTTTACCACAGCATGATGGTCCTTCTGTTGTTCAACAGTCAGGATTTACTCCTCAACCAAAATCAGTTTCACAACAACCAGGATTTCTTCCACAACCAAATTCTATGCCCCAACAACCAGGGTTTTCACCACAACCAAGTTCTACACCACAACAACATCCAGGATTTCCTTCACAGTCAAATTCTGTATCACAACAATTGAGTTTACCTCCACAGTTGAATTCTATGTCCCAACAACCAGGTTTCCCATCACAATCAAAATTAACACCACAACAACCAGGATTCCCTCCGCAGCCAAATTCTACACCACAACAACATTCAGGATTTCCTCCACAACCAAACTCTATGTCTCAACAACCAGGTTTTCCCTTACAGCCTAGTTCTGTGTCCCAACAACCAGGGTTTCCATCCCAACAGCCAAGATTTCCTCCACAATCAGGAATTCCATCACTACAACAGTCAGGGTTTCCGCCACAGCATAATTCTGCAGATTCACAACAGGGTTTCCCACTACAACCAAAAGTAATGCCACAACAACCAGGGTTTCCACCACAATCAAATTCTATGCTCCAACAACCAGGGTTTCCACTACAACCAAGTTCTACACCACAACAACATCCAGGATTTCCTCCACAACCAAATTCTATGCTCCAACAACCAGGGTTTCCACCACAACCAAGTTCTACACCACAACAACATCCAGGATTTCCTCCACAACCTAGTTCTACACCACAAAAATATCCAGGATTTCCTCCACAACCGAGTTCTACACCACAACAACATCCAGGATTTCCTCCACAACCTAGTTCTACACCACAAAAACATCCAGGATTTCCTCCACAACCGAGTTCTATACCACAACAACATCCAGGATTTCCTTTACAGTCTAATTCAGTAATGCAACAACCAGGATTTCCTCCACAGCCAAGTACTGCATTACAAAATCAGCCTGGATTTCCTCCTAAGTCAAGTTCAGTTTTACAACAACCAGGATATCCACCAATTTCTGCTTCTCAAAATTCAAGCACAATATCTCAGTCTAGTGTATCTCAACAACAGTATGGATTCCCACCTCAACCTAATGTGGCTGTACAACAACAAGGATTTGGATTACAAACTAATCTCAATCAATCAACTCCCAATTTTCCACCCCAACCAATTATAAATTCACCAAGCTCTAGTATTCCTCCAGTAAATAATTCCCAACAACCTGGTTTTCCACCAATGCCTAATATAAATTCACAACAATCAGGATTTCAATTACAAACGAACACTGCTTCTCAACTTCCAGGATTTCCTCCTCAATTAAGCTCTCAACAACCTGGATATTTACAACAACAAGTTTTTCCTAGTCAGTCATTACCATCTCAACAATCAGACTATCAACAACCGGGATTTCCTCCAACTCAGGGTAGTTATCCTCCTCAACAACAAAATTATCTTTCACAACAGCCAGGTTATCCACAAAGTACCCCAGCTTATATGGGACAACCAGCACCAAATAGAAGATTAGATCCAGATCAAATGCCAAGTCCAGTAAATTGATTCTAGAAATTATTTTTTCTATAGTACTTGATCTAATTGTAATTTTTTATAGGTTCAAGTTATGGAAGATGATCAACAAAGCAAAGGTGGTTGGTTTTTAACCAACCAAAGAGGCCTGGTTCCTCCTTTAGTGACAACAGACTTTACGTTTCAAGATGGGGGTAATGCTTCACCTAGACTTATTAGATCAACTATGTATTGTGTGCCTACAACAACTGATATTATGAAACAGGTATTAAATAAGATAATTGTGTTAATATTATTGATTTAATATTCAAAAGAAACAGTGTTACTTATATTATATTGGGTTGGAAGTAAATCTATGTTTTTAAGAATTCTTCCACAACATTTTTTTAATATTGCTGTATTTTTATAAGTATGCTAAAATATTACACAACAATATCAATAAATATATGAAAATAAACAATTTATATTGATATTGCAGTATATTATCATATATTTTAATTATTAATTTAAGTAATGTTATTATTTTGCTTTTTTTATTTTAGAATAATAATAATAATTTTTAAATTATCTAATAAATAGCAATCATATTAACAAAAAATTAAAACTGCTATTTGATAGAAAAAATTGACTTAATAATAAATATTAATAAAATGTTTGTAAAAAAAATCTGTAAGAACTTGGAGAGTAAAATCATCAATTTATGAATATAACTTTGATTCTATAAATATTGAATTAATTCACATGTAATGTATTTAAAATTTCAAAATAATTGTCTGACTAATTGTTATATCGATTTTGTGGAAGAACTCTTTGTATTATTAAATATTTAGATCAAATAGAATTATTTTTTTTGACAATTTTGTTGATTTAGTTGTATGAAATTTGAGCACGAAATTCATTAAGTTAATTTTTTTTTATTTTATATTTAGACTTCTGTTCCATTTGGATTAGTTATTAGTCCATTAGCTAAAACAAAATCAGATGAGTATCCTCCTCCTATTATAAATACAGGAGATATAGGTCCAGTCAGGTGTAAAAGATGTAAAGCTTATATGAGTCCATTTATGCAGTTTATTGATGGGGGAAAGCATTTTGTTTGTCTTTTATGTAAAGCATCTACAGAAGGTAATATTCAATAAAACTTGCACCCTAAAATTATACTTAAGTTTTATTTTATAGATGATTCATTTAAAAATATTTCTTACAAAAAATAAAATTAGCTTATAAAATAGAAAATTATTTAATTAAGAAAATGAAGTAATTAGTATGTTAAAATATAGACTGGAGGTGAAGCATGCATAACTGCTGCTATTTTTATCATTAGTTATTTCTTAGCTGCACTCTTCCTCCCATTTTGGTACAAAGCTGTAAATATCTTTCAAAGTCCAATAGTTGATATCAACCAATCATTTTCTTAATTAGATTATTTTCATAGGCTAGATTAATACATATGTTGGCATTTAAAAAAATAAAGTTAATGTATAAGAGATGGACCTATTAATTTTATAACAGATTAATTGAAATACATATATAACCAACAAAATCTAGAAAAAAGATGTTCAAAAAACTTATTATTTTAAGAGAAATAATATAAAAGGTGTTCAGTAAGTAAGGAAACAGGCCAATTGTTACAAACAATGAGAACAACAGTAACCTGTTTCTTTACTTACTGAACACTTGTATATATATATATAGTTCATAAAATAAAAAATTATCTATATAAAAAAATGACTGGTTCAATTGTTCACAACTTTTGGACCAGTACTTTAGAAATTATGACAATTTAAAAATATAGACTAGTGGAGAGGAACTGGTATGACAATATTTGTCAATAAAATTTTCGCTCTTCTCCCTCCTATGTATAAAAATATTAATAACCTAAAGTACTAGTTAAAAAGATGTTATCGATAAGTCAATTTTTCAATTAAATTATTCTAATATACTTAATAAATAAGTTAGTAAATATATATGTTTTCATTAAAAAAAATTAAGTTAGCACCCTTATAAGGTATAAAGAATGAATTAAAAATGTTATTAATAACTGATTAATCAGAATATATATGAAATTAAAAAATACCAAAAATAATTTTCTTAGGATAATTATTATTTTAAAATCAAGTGGCAAGGGTTAAATAAATAACTTTTTAAATTCTAAATGTAAGTTTTTGAAATACTCGGCTGACATTTTATTCTAATAATAGTTCCAGTTGAATATTTTCAACATTTGGATCATACTGGTCAACGCCTTGATCGCGCTGAGAGACCTGAACTATGCTTTGGTTCTTATGAATTTGTTGTTCCCAAAGAATATTGTAGGGTATGTATATAATTTTATTTTAACGTAAAGTTTTTAATTAATAAAAGCTATATTAATTTTTCTACTAAAATATTTATATTTTAGAAAGAAGTACAACCAAAACCACCAGCATATGTGTTTGTAATAGATGTGTCCTACAATAATATGAAGTCTGGACTAGTAAGATTGATTTGTGCATTTATGAAAGAATTACTTACACAATTACCAACTGAGCTAGGAGATGAAAAAAGCAAAATACGTGTTGGTTTCATTACATATGACACAAATGTTCATTTCTATAATATAAAGGTAATATTTAATTAAAAATAATAATAAATTTCAAAGTGAAATTATATTTTCATGTTTTACATTAAACTATAATTTAAGTGCTTAAAATTAGAAGTAATAAATTTAATTTATTTCTTAGTATTTTCAATGATTTAATTATGCGGGGAATAAGAACTGGCATGAATTTTGTGTTTTGTTACTTAGTCAAAATAATTGCAATTTAATGCAAATTATTTATTAATACAGTACATTTTATCCTTATAATACTTAAATTTTCTTTGCATGATGCAAATTTGATCCAGTTAAAAAATATTTACATTGATGTGTCAAAATAATAATTATTTTATTTTAGTAAAACATTAAATGAATTTATGATATTTTTTTATGTTGTATATTATACAAATATTTTTATTTTTATTTTATATTATGTCTGTTTAAAAGTTCCAAATGATACTACTGTTTTATTTAATTAAATTTTATACATTTTTATTTTATTGTTTTTAAAATTTTAGGAAACACTTGCTGTCCCTCAGATGATGGTTGTTGGTGATACTTCTGAAATGTTTATGCCTTTATTGGATGGATTTTTATGTGATCCTGAAAAGTCTTCACATGTCATTGATGCTTTAATGGAACAAATACCAGTGCAGTTCAATGAAACACGTACAACAGATACTATGCTTTATCCTGCTATTAAAGCTGGAGTAGAAGCATTAAAGGTTAGGCTAGTGAATTCAATAATCATTTATTTTGAATAATAATAATTTATTGTGATTAATTATAAGTAATAATTGGTCATTTTACTGATGAATATTAAAAGAAAAAATTGGAAATTGTTATATTTTTTTCTTAAAAACTTCTTTTATTCTTTTCAATTTTGATCAAGGATAATTGCAAATAAGAAAATAAGTTGAAATACTTAATTGTTCTACTTGCTTTATTAAACATTCTCAGCATTTAAAGGGTTTATTTTATTTTTTACTTTAAAGAATGCAGATTGTTGTGGTAAATTGTTTGTATTCCATTCATCTTTGCCAATTGCTGAAGGACCTGGTAAACTTAAAAATAGGGAAGATCGTAAATTGCTTGCCACTGATAAAGAAAAATCAATTTTGAGTAAGTAAAATTATAATAGCAATTTTTAAATATAAGGATGGTATAGCGTCCTAGTTTTTTTACTTTTGTCTTATGCTCAATTATAAAACAAATTATAACAGTCACAATACTTATGATTATTATAATAATATTATGTTTTTGTAATTATTTTATCATTATAAAATGATAATAATTAATTTTTGTTTAATTTAGATCCACAAACTAACATTTATAATGAACTGGGGGAAGAATGTGTTCAAGCTGGTTGTAGTGTAGACCTCTTTATCACTAACAACTCTTACATTGATTTAGCTACAGTTGGTCAAGTGTCAAGAATAAGTGGTGGTGAAATATATAAATATACATATTTTCAAGTAAGCTTAGATTTTAATGATGTTAGAATTTAGTATTAACTAGTATTTTATAGGCTGAATATGATGGTCAACGCTTCTTATCTGACTTAAAACGTAACATTAGCCGTCCTACTGTATTTGATGCTGTTATGCGTGTAAGAACATCTACTGGAGTTCGTCCAACAGATTTTTATGGTCATTTTTATATGTCTAATACCACTGATGTAGAGCTAGCAGCTATTGACTGTGATAAAGTAAGAATTATTTTTAAATTATAATTTTCTGTATAAATCTTAGTATTTTTTACAATTTGTTCATTTTTTCTTAACCTTATTAATATATTAGGTGTAATAATCTTCGTATTTTATTTATTTAGGCTATTGCTATTGAAGTAAAACACGATGATAAACTTGAAGAACAAGATGGTGTTCTTATTCAAACTGCTATGTTATATACATCATGTAGTGGACAAAGACGAGTTCGTATATTAAATGTGGCCTTGCGCTCTAGTGGACAAATGGGAGAATTATATCGTAGTTGTGATTTAGATACAATCATGAATTTCTTTGGAAAACAAGGTAAATTTTTATTTTTAATTTATATTTTTTAGAATGGGAAAGTTGATTTCAATTAATTCTCAATATTTAGTTATGTATAAGATTTTGGAAAGTTCAGGACGCCAAGTAAAAGATGCAATTATTAATAAGACTGCTCAAATATTAGCTACTTATAGAAAACATTGTGCATCTCCTTCCTCTGCTGGTCAACTTATTTTGCCGGAGTGTATGAAACTTATGCCTCTTTATTTAAATTGCTTAATAAAGAGTGATGCAATGTCTGGTGGTAAGGAATGATTTTACATTTACTCCTATATATTTAATGAGAATGTTAATATTTATTTTATTAATAGTAAATAGATAATAATTCTATCTATGTACTATTTATTTGTTTTAAACACTAAATTATAGTATTTAAAATTTAATTTTTGATTATCTATGTTTATTATCAATTGTTTATAAACAATATAGGTCCTGATATGACTGTAGATGACCGTTGGTACAATATGCATTTAGTGATAACTGCTGATATACCTACAACATTAGGCTATTTTTATCCTCGTTTAATTCCATTACATACACTTGAAAATGAAACTAATTTAGATGATGTATCCATACCTAGTCAATTACGATGTTCTATTGAGAAATTTGCTAAGGAAGGAGCATATATTCTAGGTATATATTAAAAAAAAACCTTATTCGTTTTCACAATGACATAATTTGTTGAAATGATTTATATTTTTGTAGAAAATGGTGTTTATATGTTCTTATGGCTGGGTATGAATTTAAGTCAAACTTTTTTGTCTGATGTATTTGGAGTACACAATATTTCGCAAATTAATACTGAACGTTCAGATGTACCTGTTATGGATAATCCATTAAATAAAGCTATAAGGGAAATTATATCTAAAATTCAACAGGAACGAAGTCATACAATGAGAGTATGTAATATATATATATATATATTTTAATTAAAGAAGAATTTAATTTTTTTTTTCTTTAGTTATCTATCTTAAAACAAAATGACAAAATTGAAACAGTTATGAGACATTTCTTAGTTGAAGACCATGGTATTGATAACAGCCCATCTTATGTAGAATTTCTGTGTCATATGCATAAAGAAATACGTAATTTATTAAGTTAGCAAATGCAAAACTGGTAAGTAATAATGAAGATGATAGAATAGTTACTAAATCATTGAAATGATTATTTAAAAAAATTAAATCATTATAATAATAAAATGAATTATATAGATGGATCCTTCCAGGGATAAAAACCCTTATTTATAATTTTCTTAAATAGGAACGTACATTATTAACTTCATTATGTGATAGAAAAAAAAATTTACAAACAACTGTGTTCTTACAATTTTTTTTATCTGATCAACTGTTTGTGTTTTACACTTTATTTAAAGATTTGGATGTCAAGTAAAAATTCATCATTGATTTAGTTTTATTATATCAGTAGCAGTGCAATCGGTATTATTGCTGCTACAGTGGCGGCTATAGTCAGTTATAATAGCCCATAAATTATTTATCATGATAGTTATAAAAAAAAATTGTTCACATAGTTTACCTTAATGAGAGATATCAATAATATATTGTCATTATTGAAATAGATTATTGCTGCCACCGGTACTATAAAACTAAATCAATGATGAATTTTTACTTCTAAACCTTTAAATTATGTGTAAAACGCAAACAGTTAATAAGATAAAAAAATTGTATAAACAAAGTTATTAGTAAAGTTTTTTTAATTAAAAATAGGTGTTCCAATTAAAGAAATTTATAAATAAGGATTTTTATCCCTGAAGAGATGAAAAAAATAGATTTAAATACATATTATTGAAGAGTTATTTAACCAAATATTTTTCTTTTTACAAAATTTTCAATAATTTCTGAGAAGATGAGTGTCTTACCAGATTTTGAACACTTTCTATATATGTGAATTATACATGTATGCGTTCAAATTTTTAAACATAACCTTTTAAAATATATTAATTGCCAAGTAATAATCAAATCATCAATTGTATGGTTAATAAATAAATGCGCATAATTCATTTGTTTTGTCTATTTATGCATACAATTTTTTAAATAATTTATCATTAAATATAAAAATGAATGCGATTTGAGGAAGTGGAAGTTAAGTATAAGGGTGGCTAACCCCAAGTAGTTGTGATTAAGGTGAGGAAAAAGAAGAAGATCATTAAATATAAAAGTAAATTGAATAAGTCAGTAAAAATAACAAGGTAGTTGTCCATTTTTCTAAAATTTTCAGAAAAGTTATAAAACAATGTTTTTAGTGAAAGTTATTAAATAGATTTATATTAAAACATTATATCTTTAATACAAATTGTTAAAGTTTTTCATTAATAGCAAAAAATGTGAGTAATTTATTTTTAAATTAAAACCAGTTTTTTGGAAATTTTTTAAAACTATATATTCAATAAATTCAATAATTTTGATTAAAATATTTTTAATATCTTGTTAATTTGAGTAGTTTGAAAGTATTCACATAAAAAAGTCTCATTATACCTGATTTTATAAAAAAACTAGTAGATGCCTTGTTATTGCACTAAATTTTTGAATTTTTACTAATTTAACAAATACTATAGTACTATTATAGATTACTATAAAAAATGAACTTTTAGGTGCTATATTATTTATTACAATAAATTTTATTTAATTTTTATTATATATTTTTTTGTCAATTGTAGGTGATTGATGGGATCATTAAAGGAAAGAAACAATACAATTACTGAAAATACTTATTCTTCATTTAGCTTATGATGCACAATTATTATTGTTGTTATAGTAATCATGTAACAGATGTAAACACAGTTTTAAAATATCTGTTGTTATTACTTTTATTATATTATTATTTTTAAATTTTACCATTATTTTATGTTAATTTATCACCACTTGCCACCTTTTTCTTGGGTGTTCTATTGAAATTTATAGGAGAATGTGTGTCAGTGTACATGTATGTATATGTGTTATAAAGATATCTATAGAGTTTATTAAATAACTGAATTTTTCATTTAAATTATAACTTAATATATTAGATTAATAAATAAGTCTTAATTATTAAAATTTTGCCTGCGAAAGAATAATGCATTGTTTATACGTTTAGTTGTGGAATCTAGTTTTATCCTAGATGCCCAATGTTTTTGTTCCTCAGCTTTATTCCTTCCAACTGCCATAAGTAACTCGTGTCCATACATTAACTGTTCTTTATGGTATTTTTTATCATCTAATTTGAGTAGATTACCTTCTGTTATTTTTGCTCTTTTGTGTTTGAAATAAATGACTTCAAATGCTAATGTGATTAATGCAATCATTAATCCAACAAGTGTAGCTATAAACACTCCACCTAAGAAATTTTAATTTTCATAAGTTTTAAATATCTAACCTTAATACTATAAAATAACATTAGTAATAATCGAGAATGACCTACACTCTTGCTAAAATCACTTAGTTAAAATTATTTTTCTTATTATGAATATAAAAGAAATTTTCTATAATTTTATAAGTTATTACGTCACAAATTCGAAGGTGGATCGTTTGTAATTTTTTATTATATCTGCTTATTTATTTTTATTGCGCAAAAAATTGCACGAATGAACCTTTTTTTAACAGCCGTGTCAACAACTCATTATTTTTGGCGCTGACCGCTAGATAAGGCGACAAGAGAGAATAAATATAATTAAAATCGAATTGTTTATCGGTACTGTTCCTCTCAAAGTCTGGCCGTTATTGATTTGAAATTGCCGTTAGATCGGTGCTGGCTCTTAATCTTCCTTCTGTCATTGACCGTGCTAGAGTTCACATATTTCCTGTTTTTTTGTGAATATTATTTTTTCAATGATTGAGTAGAGGCGGCAACGCCGAACGGCCAGATCTTTTCGAAGAAACATCCAGATTATTGCATGGGTCTCTTCAGAGACCTGGTATCGTTTTTTTTTTTATTATTTATTTTATTTTATTTCATTTTTATTTTATTATAAGTTAAATTAATTTTATTTATGTGTGGAGAGCACGCGTTTCTTCTGCTAGCCAACACTAAGGAGCGAGTTTTCAAACCGCTCTTGGTGTTTTTCATTAATTTCCTATTAACATTAATGGATGTGTTTCAATACCGTCCGTGATGATTGCTATATTATTTGATTTTGTTTTAGTATTTTATTTTATTTTTGTTGCCTTTCTCTATAGACATAGTTTTTGATACATTCGTATTTTTTTCCACGTTTAACTTAATTTTCTTTTTTAAAAATTAAATTTCCTTATTAATTTTTACTGTAATTTTTATTTTAGCGTGTATTTTATCACTATTCCTTAATCTAAACACCAGCTACGGTATATTTTATATATCAACCACTTACAACTTCAATCATCATAGTTGTGGTTAATAAACCACGAGGTGTTATAATCATTTATATATATAACCACATATTAACTTAAATTAAACTATTAATAATTAACTTAAAATTAAATTCCACCTATGGTCCAGTAATCATATCTGATTTGTGTGACATCTCGCCTAGGTGGTTGTGACCCTTGCTACTATAGCTTGGCGTTATGCAAGTAACAAACCACGTTATTGTTGCAGGGCGATAAAAAGTCCACTTGCTAAGTTTTTTAAGTCAATTAAATTTTCCTTTTCTCAAGTTTCCAGTTTTTCACAATTTTTAATCAAATTTTGGTACATCCAATTTAATTTCTTCTCTTCTTAAATAATATTTTTCTATAACTACAAAATTATTAATTATTCCTTTTTTTTTTTTTGAGGGGGGNNGGGGGGGGGGGGCTATGGTAGAAACGGGATTGCTTAACACCTTAAAACGTCTTTGAATTATACCTATGAAAGGACGTCAAATTAATACTGCCACGGTGTTCCAAAACGTTTATACTCTACTTTTTATGTGCAATGCATAAAGAAATATCTACAAATAATATACTACTTCGAAAAACTCTAGTTCAATTAATTTCTGTTATTTCACAAAGTAGCGTTTTTAGATTTTTATCACTGAGAGACAAATATAACAAACATGTAAAATACTTCCTCCTCTCTTGTATGTTAAACATATCATTATTTTCGTCGTAGAGGAACTTGGCTACTATTCTCCCCTTGAACACGTTCATGTCGATGACGTTTTGTTATAATTTTTTTTTAAATTACGCTTATGCTCCATTTTATTAAAATTTCATATCAGGGTTCATAAGCATTATTGATTGCAATTATACGTTTAGTTGTTTTGGAGAAGTTTAAACAGCGTACGTCAGCACTTTCTTTAAAATTTGCAAGATAGATATCTCAAAGAATGTAAGTGTCCAGCGTCTCTTTATTTTCTAATGACCACCAAGGTAATTCGATAAAATTGCTCGAATTTATTGAAATCGAAATTGGAATTGGAGTCAAGATCGGAATTTCGATATCGGTCCTGCATTTAAACAGTACACTTATCTATTAAAATAAATATTATTATACATTATACACATTTACGCACCATGCAAATAGTTCAGATAAAATTCTTCAGTGTAAATAATAGTATTATTGTTGATCAAACTGTAATAACCACGAGATTACCTTCTTTGGTCAGTATTCTGTTTATCTTGTATTTGTATGCCGTAATGCTAAAATTGTTTTTGTCATCGTCCTGGTGTAGTTCCGGCAACTGCTGCCATAGTTGTAGTCTGAGCAAGTTTGTTCTTTATCGTTTCACTATAAAGTCTTATTATTTTAATAATTCTATTCTACGTTTTTATTTTAGCCAATAAATTAATTATTGAGATAAAATTAATTTGTCACGAAACATTTAAATAAATATTAAACTTTTAATTCTGTTAGAACGAATAAAACCGCGAGTGTTTTTATTAAGGAGCGAAATCGCTATCGCCTCTTCATTGGTACAACCGTTTTTGGTAATTTTAACACTATTACTATAGTTGTCTATTTACCAAATTGGTGCCGTGAGAATTGAAATTTTATTTGCCAAAGTTCTCCATAGGCGGTTGCGTGACCGCCGATGTCTTCAAGATTCTTTGTAAAAAACGTTGTCATCCATCAAAAGGTTGTCTTTTTAATTTAGTTGTTAAATTGTTGTCAGAATATAAGAGTTTTAGTATTTGTTCGTGTCCTGCACCATACCGCATCAGTGACGGGCACATAAAATAAATTGTTCCTTTTTCCGGTGTACATTTTTATAATAGTGTTCCATTGTTGCCTTTCATATTCATTCTTGTGAATGTACGTTAAATAGCATTTCCTAGTCGATATCACGCGCACTGTAGTACTATCCTAATTGTAAGATAGTACGTTGTGTTGCCTACCAAACTCCTGAATGTTAGGTAATCTTGTATGGTCTTAAATATTTATTATTACTATTATTTACTCTAGAAATGTTTCCAAATTTTAGTTTCCATATTTATTTAACATTAAACATTTTCAAAATTAATTCTACAGTATGTATTGATTTTGTTTATTAACTTTTGTTTTAAACAAATAATGGGTTTAATAAAGGTTTATTAAAAAATAAAACAATATTTTTTTCTATAAGTCATAAATAAAAAATTTACAATCTTATTAAAACAACAGACAATTTTTTTTATAAAGATTACAAAAACAAATTAATTTTGTTCAGCGCTTAATTAGAAATTGATATAATTAATAAAAAATTTATGCAAAAGCTTAAAATTTCATAAAAATTATTGATAACTAACATAAATTATAATAACAAATTTTTTTAAATAATCAAAAAAATCAATTTTATGTATTTTTTGACTATTAAAAAGAAGTTAATTATAATTATATCATGTTGATTATATTTTAAATATCTAAAAATATATATGAGATTTTTAAGTATACCAAAGTGTACAACAAGAATCTTTGTTAAAAACACATGTTTAATAAACAAAATCAATATATACAACATACTATATTATATATTTTAATACATAATACCAATGTAAATTATTTTAAAAAGCTTTTTAAAGAAATATACATTTTTTTCGTATTTTTTTAATTATGTAATTTTACGTTTTTACAAATTTAAATATCTCATAAACTTAATATAATAGATAAAATATAATGACAGATTTAGAATCTGTGGAAAAAATTAGTTTAAACTAATATATTTGCATTAATATTACAAAATACATGTCCGCTAGTTTTGTTTTATGAATCAATAAGAAATTAATTTTTAAGTTGACACAATGAAATTTTAATATTACAAAAAACATTGTTTTGATATTTTTTTTATACTCTAATTTATTAAATTTGAGTATTTTTAATTTTAAAGAGATATACAGAGTGTTCAGTAAGTAAGAAAATAGGTCAGTTGTTACAAACAATGAGAATATTAGAAACTTGTTTACTTATTTACTGAACACTATATATTAAAACTTAAATCTCAACGGTTTACATACAATTTATAATTGTATCATTTTTATTGGTTACTACGTTAAACGGTCAATTTTATAAAAAAAAATGTATAAAAATATTTATTTTAGACAATTTAATTTATTACAATGTTTATTCTGTGGAATTTTTTCTATTTGTAATATTTAAAAAAGATATACATAAAAAACTAAATTTTAACACTTTTTCGTTAATTACCTACCTTTTTAAGTTACGTAAAGAGTTTTTTCTAAAACATTCAAATTTTACCAAATTTGTTTATTTTCTATTATCGCAAATCGTGATTTTAAAATCACAATGTATTATGTTTTGCATTCTTACAACTGTCGTTGATCATTAAATTTATTTAATTACTTCATTTTTTTTTTGCAAATTTTCGCTTTTAATGACTATAATTATGTCTAGTCATATCAAGATTATTATGGTTTTTTTAGTATACCACAATATTATTATGATTCGTGTACGATTTAAAACTGTGTTCTGAAGTAGTAGATAAACAATAAAACACTTATGTGATTTTAGTACGTTATGTTGGATAAAATAAAACAGAGTGATAACTGTGAACTATTTAATTGAAAGTGTGTGTTGAAACATTTTATACTAAAACATGAGTAGAACGCGTATGGTTATTAAAATTTATTATGTCATGTTACAATTAATATAATGTTGTTTTAAAACATTTTTATTAGTTGTTATTTAAAACTAAAAGTTTTAGTTAATTTTTATAATTTTATTTGTTATATATAAACGTTTGGTAAGTACTTTCTATATCAATAATTCTTAGGCTTTTTATATAAAAAATAGAATTGATTTATCATTGTGACTATTTTTGAAATATCCATACGTAAAATCAAAATCGGTTAAATGAAATATGAGTAATCAAAATCGAAATATGAATATCAATTTTAAGCTCTGGTTCATAGTACAAATATTTTATTTTTCTTTAAAATTCTATAAAAACAAATTTCACGATATCTCAATGAATTAAATTAATTAAAGTTTGTAAGAATAAGTTTTAAAACTTATCTTAAAATTCATTTAATATCAAACTGGTTTTGGGTAAATTTCAGTGACTTGCTAAGGATTTCTTTTTTTAAGAAGAGGAGGGTCATTAAAAATTTTTAATAACTCATTCCAAATAATATCTTAAACACAGAAATATTTTTGGACAAAACTTTCTCCAGTCGAGGCCGTTGATTTCACTACTATTAATAAGGCCTACCTGAATCATTTTCTTATGTATCCTTACACATTAAATCCGATTATTTTTATAGTATTTTAACTCTTCGAGTTTTTAGTAATTTTATTCGATCGTTATTTGAATGATTCGTTTTATTCGATTTTTAGTATGAAAAATTAAATAAAAAATTTTATTATACGATAATTTTGTCATAAAATAATTTACCTAAACTTTCTAATGTTATTCCTTCGCTATCATCAGCATTAGGACACATACTTAACTTTGATGAATTCCAATATTTAGCATTCAAAGACTCAAAAAATCTGTCTTTCTGTAAATCTAATATCCTAGTAAATAAGCCAACACATTAATATTTTGTATTACTTGAAATTTAAATTGATAATTATTGTGTTACTTTCTGCTAATTTCTTCTTGTATAAGACTGCCCTGTTGAACAGCAATAGAATAAGGTCGTTCAGCAAATATTTCTCCCACTTCTGTGAGATTACAATTATTGTAGACTTCATGTTTGATGTCTGATGAATCATGTATGAAAGCAAATTCCCCTTGTTCGTTATCTAATACCTAATTAAATATGTAATAGTTACCTTTTTGTAAAATTTTAAATTACTGAATGAAATTTTAGTATATAAACAATAATATTTATTGTTTATGTGCCTTAAATAGAAATAATTATTGTTTCTATTTATCTAACCATTTGATATCCGATGGTTCTATTTGGTACGGTCCCTGTTCTTTCAATAGCTGCTAAAATTTGGCCATATTCTTCTTTAATAGGATAATCCCACACTCTGAATTCATGTCGCTTTTCTTTTTGATTCAATGCCAATTCTTTCCATACACTGAATATTTGACAATCAATATTATTTATTATAAAAAACGAGATTGTCTATTTTTAAGAAAAATGGTAATTATTAATATTTTTGTTGAGTATAATATACCTAATTTTGATTATTAAAATCGTATCTCTGATAAGCTTATCGTAATTATTTAAAAAATCTATTGTAATGGAACAAGGAACACCTTAAATGGAAAATTATTTAGATAAATAAAATTTTAATTTCTATAAGATTGACTTTAAGTGTTAATCAACCTAACTAACATTTAAAAAAGTTTATACTACATTAATTTGTTAAAAAATATGTTCTATTATTTATATAAGTAATATATTAAAAAATATCTCTTATTACTAAAATTAAAGACCTTAAATGAAATATAATACTTTTAATTTATTTATAGCTGACAGTATGATTATGATTTATAATTACTTGTACAAAATGTCTTCTGCTTTTTTCATATTTTTGAAATGGAAATGTGCAGGACTGCCTTCGACTACTGAATAATTAATTCTTGATTGCCGAGCTAATTGTTGCAATGACTGAACTGGTGTCTTGAGAAAAAAAAGCAAAATAGTAAATTTATGTGTGATTTCTTTTAATGATATAATTCTTAATTTAGTACCTGCATCCGTTCTACTGTTAAAAAAGCAGCTAAATTGGCAGTGAATGTTGCTAACATGAGTACAACAAATACCCAATATGCAGCAACCAATACACGACCACTGATAGCTTTTGGGGTTTCACCTCCACCTTGAGGCGTAAAAGATGTTAAAGCAAACCAAAAACTTTCAACTAGTGTGAAATTTCTAAAAAAAAATGTTTAAAAAATTATTTTGAAGGGTTTGTAGCAACCATCAATTAAGTCGAACTTTTTTCAGAAAATAATTAACTGTTAATTTTGAATGAATATGATTTTTCTACGTAATTCAGTACAACAACGAGTTCTATATTTCTATTATTTGTAGAAATATTTCATTGGGAAAAAACATTTTAACATTGCTTTTAATGACAATTTTTTGATAAAATTGCATTTGATAAAAATGGACTAATCTGATTGTTAACCAAGTTCTTCAATTTTACTAACGTAAATTACATGTATACAAATTAATATTACCTAAACTGTTCATATTTTGGCTTATTGTTCTGAGCGCTGTAAGGAGAATACTTATCTAGTATCCAAATCATAAATGCTGTCATCGTAAGAGCCCCAACTATACTAAGCCATACTTCAGGTTTAAGTACTGTCATAAATTTGAACAAAGAAGTTTTTCTAGTAGGTTTTCTAATGACTGTAACACAATTTTAATAAAATAAAGGCAGTAACATTAGTTCGTAGACGATGAAAGATTTTAGAAATGTCAACAGAATTTATATATAATTTTAATGCTTGTATGAATTGGTTCATATAATACTTACCGATTGATATTCCGGTTTGTTCAAAGTAAGGAGCGATGAAGTCGATAACTTCTTCTCGTTCAGAAGTCATGGCTAATGCTGCTACTACTATGTCTAATTCCTATGATTATATCTTATAATTAGATACTTAAAATAGTAATAAGAACTTATTTATGTAAGAAAAAAATATTACTCCTTCAATTAGTCCTTTGACTAGACCATTCCACGATTTGTTAACCCTATTTGGAATACCAATGTCCTTTTTTATTATTAATTCATATTTGAAATTCATTTCTTTTGATAGTTTTTCTATTAAATCAATACAATAGCCTTTCCATTTTCCATCAGTTTCATCCAGAAAAGTCCAAGGAATAGACTTGGGTGATCATTATAAAACGAATAAATAATACTATTACCACGAAGAAATAATTATTATTTTATTATAAGAAATATATACTTGTGCTGTTCCTATTCTGAAAAAACGTTGTCTAATTACTCTGTCCAAAGCTTCATTTTCCATTTTTAAACCATTTTCTGCTGTCCATGACCCCAGTTGTTTTGGTGAGCCGTCTGCAGCAATTTTGTAAATTTCCGCAACATCGTCGTACGTAATTGAACTTGTGTCGACATTGTAACGTAGATGATTTGTGAAATTATACTGTATCATAAATAATATAGATTTGTTAAAAAATGGAGATCATGTAAAATACATAATGTATGAAATGGAATAACTACAAATAATACTTACAATAGATATTGTATTGAGTAGTGATATTCGTTTTTGAGCGATTTCATCGGATGAACGAATATTACATTTGAAATACAGTTGATTGTTAGGTAAATTTGTTACAATGTGTCGGACAAATTTCAATAAATTATCAGCTTTTGACGTTATATTAATATATCCATCTTCCCATGATTTTATCTTGATAAGTGTTACTGATGTATTAACTCGCATTATGCTTGTTGTTTTGGTAACAATTATCCATGAGTCGTCGTGTTTAATTAAATTTTCATTTCTTGCCTGTTCATAAAATGAATCTTTATTTTACAGAAATGTTTTTCTGGGGGGAAATTGGAATTTCACTATTGCAGTTAATATGAGAGCTATTTTTAAAAAGAGGAGTTTTCTAATTTTGGAAAGACATTGCTCCTATGCCCCCTTGTATTTACGTCTTATATCTACGATTTAGTATATGATCATCATTTATATCATAATTTTAGTCGTGTATTAATATGATAATATACAATACAAATTTATAATTATTGGCAACACGATTAACTCTACGAAAAAAAATTTAATTGAAAAGTTAATTTTACAGCGTTTTTTGTGAATAAAGAAATTTACAAGTACATTAACAGAGCATTTTTAGAATTGACATTGAATTTTTTTCTTTTTTGAACAACCATTAATACCTATATTTTTTTAGCTTACCGTTTTTAAATAGTTTTCTATATTTCCCCCCACTAAAGCAACGAATCTTACACCAATTTTAGTGTTCTTGATTTGGTCAATTTCTTTATCAGTTAGTTTCGAAAAAACTATTGCCCTTAGTGAAGATACACCAGATGTCAAGTAGATGATAGCTTCGTCGGCATCTAGAAGTTCATTAACAACTGTTATCGTTGAAATGTATTCATTAAAACATGTACACTATGTGAATAATATTTAAGGCTCATGTCACTCTAATTACCTGCTTGGTTTGTAAAAATAAATGTGATCTCTTTTGTGAAGTTCATCCATTTGACGTAAGATTCAATTAGTTTAATGACTGATCGCATACTAGAGAAATCTGTTTGGAAGTATGGAAATCCGTTTGCATTGCTGGAATTCCTGCATGTCACGCAATGAGGGTGAAGTATATCGACTACGCATAATGTGTCATTAAATGATTTACAAACTGTAAAAGTAGATTAAACACATTTGTCGTTAACACATTGTTAGTATACAAGTTTTCAGTAAAGCATTGACAATGCAATATTGAATTATTAAAAGTAAATAATCCATTGTAATCCGTATGCTTATACAATGTATAACCTGAACAGTGTCCACAAGGTTTTGATATATTTAGTAACTTTTGTTCTAGTAAATATTTTGTTATTTTTAATTTTTAATTATTTAAACAGTTGGACTACATTAAGAGCATTTTTAAAAATTATTTGTCTATAATAAGAAAAAAAAAATTTTTTTTGCGAAATTTTAAAATGTCTAAATATTGTTTAGCTATATTCTTGCAAAATATTTTGATGTTTTGATAAAAAATTTAGGATTAGTACTTATTGAGTTACAAGCATTCAAATGCATAGAATGAGAATGCAACGCAAGCGGAGTATAAGTATATCACTACTAACTGTCAACATACTCACTCTATGTATTTAATTGTTTGTAACTCAATATTTACTTGTTCTTAAGTTGTTATCGACTCACGAAAATTTTTTGTAAGAAAACATCTCAAAAACAACTACTTTGAAATTTTTAAAAAATTATAATTTTTATAGTTTATTTTATTTGAAACAAATAATAAAAAATAGGCTTTTAACGTAGTCATTTAACTGTAAACAATTGTTTAAAAAAGTATTAATATTGTAATAATAATTATTTTTATATGATAAATCTTTACTCAAGAAAAATATTGTCAGATTTTTATCATTTAAATATTTTGAAAATTTACCAAAATTATCTGTAATTCTTTGTTAAAATATAAATATTAAAAAAAGAAAAACAGAATGATATGCATTATTTATTGCACTCTATCATATAATATATATTATTATCTAATATTTTAATGATTTAAGTTTAAAGTTAAGTTAAATTACTAGTAACATTACTATTTGATGAGTAAAACATACTTTTTAGTACTAACCACACTAATTAAATTAAGCTCTAGCAATAGTTATTACTGAGTTAACAATAATTTAATGAAAATTTGCACTTAAAAATTAGTATTATTCCTATAAATTTAAAGGCCTAGTGCAATAAATTATACACTTTGGCATGTATAGGAATATTAAATAATTTTTCTGACAGAACTTTGGCTGGGGTCATACTTTAAATACCTCAAAATGATTATTAATAAAGTGGTATCTAGAGAATAATATTCAAGTGAGAAGTTGAATTTTGGCGGCCATTGAAAGTTTATATAATTGTATATCATGTCTTTCTAAAGTAATCTCTCGGGAGAAGTTTCAAGCACATTAAACGAGAAGTGGTTTAACACGATAATTTCGGAATATAAATATTTGATTTAAAGATAAATATTAGTAATGAATTAAAAATTTTTATTAGTGTGAATATAAATAGAATTTTAAAACGAGTAATCTGAGGCCAAATTTCTTAAATTGTTTGAATTTTTTCAGCGAAAAGAAAACGTACGTGTAATCATATAAGCGGTGTTTGAATAAAATATAATTTTTTCGATAATTTACTAATAACTGTAATATATCTTTTAATTTTAAGGATTATATGATATATTACTGTAGTATCAATAAGCAGTTTCTTTTTACAGTATGATCGACGGCAAGAAAAGTGCAATATTCTATATTTTTAAGAGTTGAGTATGTTTATTTTTCTATTTTTCTTTGTCAATTCAAAAAGAAGATTATACACTATTTTTTTGAAAGTAAATTGTATTACGTTAAAATCTTAAGGAACCATTTTTTACACTTTTATCCAATGAAAAATTTTTAACTTTAAATGAATTTATAAAAAGTATATTTAATTTCTAGTTTTTGTGTAATATGAACTTAAACGTTTGCAGCAAATCCTTACACTTTCCAATAACATTAAACGGCGAATCAATTATAATTGGTCTCAATGAAATATCATAATTTTTTGATGAATTCAGCAAAATTTGATAGTTGGAATCACTTTCGTTTTGAGTTAATACACCTAAAAAAGAAATACAGTAAAGTATTTATCTGATTCCTTGGTCAGGAATTGAATTTAAGGAATCTATTTGGAAGTTAAATATTTCCAAAAAGTTTGTTATAGCCCATTTAACACCAAGTTAATCCACTCATTATATACTCAAATCTAAATTAACATATTACTTAAAAAATTATATGATAAAATTAAATTGTAAGATTAATAGTAAATTTATGATTATTATTTATGTATTCTAGAAACACTATTACCAATTTTTAAAAATTGTTACATAAACTTGGTAATTATGGATATAAAACAAGTAATTAATTTTGTATTCATATATATTTTATAAAAAAGTTCTTTTTTTTGAAAACAGTCCTTATCGACAAAATTTAAAATGTTTTAATGATTTACATATATTTGCAAATATTTTAGCTTTGATGCGAAGTTGAGAAGGTATTGGTTTTGTGAAGCTATGTGTATTTTTTATGACTGTCTATCAGGGGTTGAAAAAATTGAGATTTTTAGGAGGTTTTAAAGAGGTTGATAAAATAAAAAAATAAGAGGTTTAAGTTTTATTAGGGTTTTTTAAACTTATCTTTTTTAAGGGAGACGATTCTAAACGGATTCTAGTTTAAAAAAAAATTAGTTATTTATTATTATTTTTTTTAAGGTAGGTTTTATAACTACCTTATATCATAAATTATTTCGTACTTCACTTATTATTTTATAGTAAATGTTTTACAAAGGCGGTAAGAGAAATTGATAATATGTTAAAAAAAAAAAAACATTTATGTAAACTATAACTTTTTCAGTTTAAATTAGGTATCTAATCCTATTTTTGAAGTAGAATTTACTAATTTTTAGCATTTTTCCATACCGAACTGTATCATAAAATTTATAATTATTGAACTAAGTATTATATTTAGATTTTGTAATGAAAATTGGTTTGATTATTTTCGATATAAGAATATAACTGAATTATTCATTGACAGTTTAATTCTTATTTGACTTAAATTTTAAGTAGTTCTTGACATCGACACGAACTAAAAATAATGTAATTATACTTTTTTGTTAGTTAAACAATTTTTAAATTATTTATAAACTTTTTTTTTGTTAAACAAAAAAAAAAAATAGAATTGAGTTAAGTCATTTTTTCTAAAAGGTAATTTAATAGTTCTAAATAGAACTATTAAATATTAAATATTTAATAGTTCTAAATAGAACTATTAAATATTAAATATTTATTAAACATCAATATCAATTAAAAAAATATTTTTGAATTAATTAATAGTTTCCAATATTATTTTAATAATAAAATATGTATTAAAACACTACTTATAATGTGTAATATACTCAATCTTACCAATATTGTAAGTTTCGCCCTTGGCAAAAATGATTATACAGCTAAATAAAATTAAAATGGAACTATACATTATGCCTTCACAAATGCCACCTCAAAAATGAAAATATGTAGTTTATCTAACTCAGTTCATAAAACGCAGTTGCTATATGTTTGCCATATTAAGTATCCAATTATCTATAATTGGACTATAAAAATAGCATCAAAATAATATTACCCTACTTATTTTGAATATGCCAATCGTACTCCATAAACTATTCATTAACTAGGAAAAATGTATAAATAATATAGGTTTTTGATTGTCGATAGTTGTTTAAATACATGCACATTTGTGATTACCATTGTAGCAATAATTACAAGGGTATTTTTTTTTAGACTGACATTGTTGTTATAACAGAATACAACTTTTTCTCGTACAAACTTAAGGTGTAGAAAAAAATGTTATTATAAAGTTTCTCAATTGAGTAGTTTTTAATAATTTTATTGAATAATTGTTATAGATGTTGCTAGATTAAAGTATTTTCAAAGGTTATTTAATTTCTCCATTCAAAATTTATGTGGCAATTTGTTTAAAACAAACAACTTTCCTAAAAAAGAAAAATTAATATTTTTCGCTTAAATAATTTTTAATACGATATATTATATAGTATTATACTTTTTAAAAATATTTATTTGTTTGATGCTAAATCTTAATAAACCAGGACCATGAATTAAATACTTAAAATTTTAGCAAATCAATAAAGTTAAAATATAACCACTTCTAAATATAATTTTAAATTATAGTAATATTAAGTTATAGTTATTGCTATTCACTTCTTCTCTCACTTTTTTGAGTATCTTTTTGGTAAAAATAATTTATTTTGTATATATAAATATACATATTACACATAAAAAGTATTTATACAACAATAAATTTTCCAATATTTGAAGGCAAAGGATATATAGAGATGGAAATTAAGAAGTTATAAAACTTATAAGTCATAGTATGACAATTTGGGAAAATGTAAAAGATAAGAGTATAAAAGATGAGGCATCGGTATCTAAAAACCAGTTTGGATTTATGCCTAGTAAGTCAACAATGGAGCCATTATTTTGTGTGAGACAACAAGTATAGGGGAAAGAAGAAAAAGCTATTTATGGTAATTATAGATTTTGAGAAAGCGTATTATAAATCACCGAGAGAGGTTTTAAAGTGGGTATTAATGAGAAAAGGAGACCCAAAAAGGTATATTAATGATAGACTCTATTAAATAGAGGATATGTATGATCTCACTTGTACCAGGGTAAAAAGTATGTGAGTAATAACAAGATTTTAAGGTTAGAGTAGGACTACACCAAGATTTTACTTTAAGCCCTTACATATTTTCTATAGTAATAGATGAACTTACTAAAGAAATACAAGGAGGAACCGTGGTGCATGTTGTTACCTCGTGATATAGTGTTAGTAGGAGAAAATAGGGAGCAATTTAATCAAAAGCTTGAGGTGTGGAGATCAGCTCTTGAAGAATATGCATTAAGAATAAGTAGAAGTAAGACAGAGTATATAGAATACGAGTTTGCCAAAGGAGAACTTGAGGTTGGTTAAATGAGAAGATCAGTGACAATAAGCAAAGACGTGATAAGAATGGTAGAAAGTATTAAGTATCAGTTGTGTAAATAACTGTGGTTTTGACAAAGATGTAAGATACAGGATTAAGTGCGGGTGGGTGAAGTAGAGAGAAACGTGTAGTGCGTTATGCAATAAGAGAATTCCTATGAGACTGAAAGATAAGTTCTATATAACTGTAATGAGATCAGCTATGATGTATGGTTCAAAGTGTTGGGTGGTTGATAAGAAAGTAGAGCAGAGAATGAGGGTAGCAGAGATGAGAATGCTTAGATGGATGAGTGAAGTGACTAAAAAAGATAGAATAAGAAACGAGCATATAAGAGGGAGTATAGGTATAGCGTCAATCGTGGATAAGACGAGAGAAAATAGACTTGGATGGTTTGGTCATGTTATGAGGAGAGAACAATCGGAAGCTGTAAGAACAGTTATAGAAATGAATGTTGAAGGAAGAAGAGGTAGAGGAAGACCAAAAAAAGATGGATGTTATTGAATGCGATGTGAGGACGGCTGATGTGTACGTAGATGTTGTAGGAATCGTGTCAAGTGGAAATTTAGGAGGATAAGGATGGCCATCCCTAAGTAGTTGGGATAAAGGCGAAATAAAAGAAGAGAAACAATAAATAAAATTTTTTGTATTTGGAAACTTAGCTACAATATATGTCTTCAGAATATTATATGTTTAACGCGTACATACTTGTTTAACGGCATGCCAGGGTACATGAAATTCATCTGAACGCCCAAGTCAACAAAGCGACAGTTCAACTTTTTGATCATTTTCAAGATGTCAGAAGATTGAAACGAACTAAACTATATGACTTATTGTAAATATTAATTGGTTGATGTAAATTTTACTAGTATATAAGTAAGATACTCTTCATTAGAAGTTTCCCTTCATCATTGTCTATAATATCTTAACTATACATATTATGTAAATTTAGATGTTAACGTTAGTGAATAATTTTGATTAAGATCGCAAGGTCGTCTCAAAAAAATAATACTAGTAACAAAAAAAAAAGAAGAATATTACATATCGTTACATAAATTCGATTTTGAACAATGTTTCAAATATTGCATAAAAAATTTTCATTAACAGAATTCTATATACATTTAATAAATAAAATGATGTATTTTATAGGGAAAAATTAAAAAATTTTGAATAAAAACTATTAATTATTATATTTAATATTGTTTGTTGTGTAAGTAATGAAATAAAATTTTTTTCTTGTTTTAAGATAAAATATGTTTGTTATACTTTTTTCGTCGTGAGGAAAAATGAATGTATGATAATATCAATTTTTAGTAATTTTTGAACAAACAACTGTGTAAATACACATAGGTAATATTTTATTTGAATTTATATTATAACAATTGAGAAAAGTTTTATAAATGTGGTGTAAAATTCATCTACTGACCACGAATAAGATGAAATGAGTTTAGTGACCTATATGTCGTAATAGGGTTTCTTGGTCATACTAAAGGCTATGCTTTATGTGCATTATGGACGGATGGTTCAACATTATTGAAATACATTTCTAGACCGTTTGTTATGCAGGAAAAAAGTTTATTGTAAAAATTTAAAGGGCCTTTACATCATACACATCAAGATCATACAGAAGAGTAGACAGTAATCGTTAAACCCACCATCCAGATGAATTCACATAATGAAAAATGTAAGTACTGATTGTAAAATGATCGTGTATACAATTTAAGGAGCGTAAGATTTATGGGTAAATTTTCTTTATAAAATAAAAATTGTTTTAAGTTAAACAATTGTATATGTTTCAATATTTAAAAAATGATAAAATCAATTCTATCGTAACTTTTATGAAAATTGTACTTCAATTACAAAAATTACAATCTTTATGTAATAAATTTTATACATAGCAGGATCTAGTGCCGGGTAATTAAAAAGTTACTTAATCAATTTTTATCTTAGCTATATGTTATTTTAGAAAAATTAATACATTTAAGCCGATTGATATTAATATGAGCGTGGCTTAAGAATTTTAAAGAATAAAAACTAGACGTACGCATTTTATAAGTTTATTTTTCAATTTTTTTAGAAGTTATAGCTTAATTATTTTGATAGCATTAAGTGTATGTATTCTAACAAATGCATTTAACTGACCGCACGGGTTGTAATTTATGCAAATTACGTTAGTCTAATTACAAATTTTAAGTGATTGCTAGAACTTAAACGTGGTACTAAATAAATAAATTTATAATAAAATAAATTTTTAAGGAGTATTATTATTTTTTATTCACCGGTAGATTTTATATTAACCTAATATTAACCTAGTTTATACACACATACAACTCCATAATAATACAGATAACACAACATTGAAGTTATTTAGTTACTGAGACATAATATAAACCTTGTTTTTAATGGTAATTTAAAATTATTTGATAACTTTGTAAATAAAAAACATAGCAACGGTGTGTTACAAGTAAAAAGGAAAACTCAAAAATTATTTAGTAAAATATATTACTTGGAAAAATTGCGTATTTGACAAAAAATGTTTGATTTTTTATCAAATTTTATTTTTGGGAATCATAATAGTTTTTAATTTTTTTCAATACTGGCTTGTGGTAAATTTTTTCTTGTTTGAATATTAAATGAATAAGGGAAATGATTATCTCAACTGTTCTATACTTTATTATACAAAAATAAACGTTGAAAATAATTTGAATGATTTTTTTTAAATTGAAGTCTACGTGACTGACTATGAATTTCATTTGAAATCCGATCCCTTAGACAGTATTACTAGGTCATAGTATCTATTTGATTTTTTTTCAAGCCACCATGAAAAAATATTGATTTTTCTGATACTAGATAAACAAAAACATTCTATTTAAATAACAATTTTAACATCCCAAATGTTTATTATATTTTTTCAGTGTCAACACTAGATATGGTAAGACCTAAGCAAAAACATGTTTTGTGAGGTTCTTTTTATTCGTTTTAAGTAAAATATCTTTTTTTAAACTTTTTCCGATGATAAAGGAACAAATTATTATTATATACAAATAAATATTATTGTTAATGTATAAACTTAATATTCTACTTATAGAAGTTTAACTTAAATATTTTTATAAAATAAAAGTAAATTATATTATTTATTTTTTATGGACTTCAATTTTTATTAGAAGGTTTAGTTTTCTGTGGGAGTTAGTGCCCATTTTCATAAACATTCCTATGTCCAGAATATCTGATCCTTAAAATTTTAAGACAACAATTAAACATTTTTCAAATGTTTAATTCTTTGCCAATATCTCTATTTTCTAATATTGTTGTATCGTGCTTTTAGTGATTTTCTGTTTAATATAATTATTATAGTAAGGTAAAATGCATAGTATAGTATGTGTTGTGCTAAATATAATATTAAAATATAAGATAATGTATAATTTTTGTTTATATTTATAAAGTAATAATAATAGCAATAATAAAAATTCAAAAAAGTATATAAAAATATTATCTGTAAAAAAATATAATGTTTGAAAATAGTAATAGGAATAGTTATTCAAAATAATAAGTTCAAACGTTTATCGTTCTTCTAGAATTTTGCTCTTTGTAATTTTAATGAATTGCTATTAGGTTTTTTAAATGATTTTTATAGAAGTGTTATTGAATGGAGAAACCTATAATTTTACTTTGTTTTTGGGTTTCACATTTCTAGTTGGTGTATTGTAACTTTTTTTTGAAGCCATAAATATCAAAATCAAATGAATTTTGCAATATAAATAGATTTCTTAATTTGTTTTTCTTTATATGTATTGATATATTATGAGTACTTTATTCCTTGGTTTTTATTAATAATTTGGATTCCAAAGTCTGTATTTGACGATCGTTGAACTAATTATTTAACTACCATTACTAATATGAATTGATTTTTTTCATCAATATTGATCATTTATATTTTACAATGATTTGAAATAGTTGAAACCAAATTGTTTATTTTACGAACCAATTACAAAACTATTATTATTATTATAAAATGATTAGGCTATATGACATTAAATTGTTACATCTAAACACGGTGTGATTAAATATAAAACAATGTTTATGAATATTTTATAAGTTCATTTAAATCATTGAAGAAAGTTTTCTTTCGTATGATTATAAATATATAACTTATAATTAGTTATAATTTATAAATAATTTACATACGAGGAATATAATAAGTAATATTTATTTAACTTAAAAATATATAAATTATAAATTTAATTATATAAACTTTTTCTTTAATGTTCATCAAACAATATTTAATCTTTTTTGATTGATAATAACAATCATATAAAAATATTAATATTCAGAGTCAATTTTTTTAGTGAATTTATCCACTTAAAAGTTTTTGATATTCTTCTGGAATACATGCTATTACAATCGTTTCTATTTCTTCTAATATTGGGTTAGATGATAATTTTTTTCTTATCAACTATGTCTAAAAACTACTAGATTAGAAGATATTAATGTGCGCGCCATCCTCCGTGTTTTACTACTTTTTATATTTTATTTGTATAAACTTTCGATTTACCACTTGATTTAAACTTATATCTACTCTTTTTATAAAAATTATATTTTAAATTTATTTCTAATGGATTAGTAAGCACTGTAAATAGTACTTTTGGTTTTAGGTAGTAATTGTAATTAATATTCATCATATCCTTTTAATTTATAAATAATAAAAAAATATACAAACAATTGTTACAAACAATGAGAACAATAGAAACCCGTTTCCTGACTTACTGAACACTCTGTATAAGTTAAATTTTATAATTACATTTCTTCACATTACCAATATGTATAGATCTAATGTTTTATTTTTGAAATGATAGTTAATATAGTGTGATACATGTTTTATTTTTAATAGCTTATGTTTATCTTCAAAAATGAAGAGAAAAATTCAAAATAAGAAAACCTGTATTGTGAACTTGATAAGAGTAGTTGATAAGATCAGATATAATTTATTTTTTAAATTTTTATATTTTATCAAAATATCCTAAATTATGTGTTTGTTTTTAAGAAACATAATCCCCTATTTTTCAAATAAGTGATTTGATTAGGATTTGTTATTTTGGAATATTGTTATTAAACTTTCATTAATCATACATAATTATAAAAATTGTATGAATATTACCTGAGAACGTCGTAAAAAGTTATCATTATTATTAATTGTTTTATCCAACTCGATTTTTCATATACATAGAATTAAAGATATTCAAGCGTTGACTACCAAATATATGTTTAATATTTAATAACATAAATGTACATTGAGTATTTGATATTATTAATTATTATTTTTGTGCGAAAACTAAACTCCAAATGATGTTGCTTTGAGCGAATTCTCATTAAAAATTAAATGTTCGATACCAAAACGCAGTAGGTAATTATTTTTATAGAAGCCAACATTTTGATGGGAATTGGTAAAAAAAAAAGGGTCCAAAGGGAAAGTTAGACTTTTACTGACGAGCTGGCTTAATCAGTGACCAAGGTTGTGGTTCAGGAGAGAGGGGGTAGGTGCAGTTGCGTGAAGTTTCCGAGATGGGGCGCCAGTACTTTACCCGCGTGTGCACCACAGCAGCCAGTTTTTCCGCAGCTTTCGCGTAGTGCGTAAGTGTTTTGTTTTGTCGTTTTTGTTATTATTCGGTTGGAGCAAAAATACGATAGTTGCTCAGTGTACAGTGAAATAAATTTCGGTTGAAATATTTCGAGTTTTACAATGTGAAAGCCATGTCTTTTTTTTCGCCAAATATTGTGATTATTCTGTTATGTTATATCATGTTTAAATTATAGTAAAAACTAAAATTGTTCTATGATGTGTGATCGAATCATAATTGTATCACTACTTCTTTTGTTTTATCGGACTATCCTCGCTGATAACTTAGGTATGTAATCAAAGTAATTAATTAGTTGTTAAATTTGCAAAAGGTGTATTTATGGCATCATTAGCGCTGAAATAAAAATTGACTTAATAATTAATTAATTATTGGAGTTATTTTTTAATGTTACTATATAATAGTAATAATAATTTTATATTGATTTATTGTGTTGATTTATTTAGTTATTTATTTTCGATTTAAATTATTTTAATGGAAAAAATAACTGACTAACTTGAAGGACTTGAAACTATTGTTTTTTTGCTTAACTACATATTCATTATTATTTTGGCATTTTATGTTATATAACGTTTAAAGTTATACAGATTTATATTAATATAATAGCGAAATAATAGTGCGTTTTTACATCTCTTGTAAAATAAGAAAGTATTAAAAATGTGTAGTTTATCTTGAAAAAGTACTGAATAGTCACGTTACGCACGTCATGAGCCTTTATTTCCTGCGGTTTACTCATATAGAATTTCTAACATTAGTAGACTTCGGACATAGTATGTAAAGATTAAAAATGTCTTTGTTGGGTCTGATGTTAACTACAATAGATAATATTTGTCTTTAATACTGGCGGGATCAACTTATAAAATTTTTCAAATTATTAGGTCACATATATGTACTATAATCATAAAGTAAAAATGTATCTGGAGACAAAATTACTGACAATTATTAGTTATTTGATTATAATCAGAGTATTTTTACCTGAATGCAAATTTCGAATGTTTTTTCTGAAATACTTAATAATAATACCATAGACTTAACTATACATACTTGTACACCTGTATGTGACATATATGATGGAAGTTTTAGTATTAGAATCCCTTCACCTTTAGTTTTTATGTGTGCATAAAGTTATTGTGTAATAAGGGACATTTTTAAGTTAATGTTTATTTGGTGCACGCTCAAAGCCTTGAGAACAGTATCAAACACGCCACAGTAATAAACTATTCTGTTTTTTATTGTTAATGTCTATACGTGTCTAACGTATAGATTAAAATATGGCTTATGAGTTATGTGCTTATGTTTTTTTTTTAATTTGATCCTTTATTCTATTTTTAATATTTGTTACAAAAAGAATGGTTAACATGCCATAATTTATGAATACATTAGTTAGTACGAAATAATTTGATTTAGGGTTTGATGTAAAACAATATTTTATGTGACTTGTGGGAGTTATACGTACATCATTCATAAAATAGTTAACCTCTTATCTGCAAAATAAAATTTATATATATATAAAATATACGTTTTTGTTAGTATCTTTATATTAATTTTGTTTTTAATTATATAATCATTCGTCTTCGCTACTTTAACTAATTAAAAACTGTGTTTAAATACTAACTTTAATTTACAATTTATTTATACATTTTGATAAGTGTTTCACTTTAAGAGTTTGACTTTTCAAGTTTTCATTTTTCATAATGAAATTGATAGTTTGATTAATATCTTAACTTACTAAAGGTTTTATCATCAAATGCAATAAAAAATTATGTTATTTTCTAAAGTTGAAACAATATTTTGTAATACAACATTATTACAATGTGTGCTTTTTAATTTGATATAACATAAATAATTTTTTTATGTGAAATATATATGTAGCTAAAAACATGTTGAGCAATAAATTTATTAATTCCTTTTTCTGGTGTGGTATTTTTTAAAACTTTTTTGGCGTTCATATATTTATAATGATGCAGTACAGAATTTCACAGATGATAATATGAAAATTTTACTATATTTGAATTTTTTGACGATTGAATATCAATGTGTTGATATTGTGATGTAACTATTTCACCAAAATAGAATTATAATTTATTATTTTTGACTTTCGAGAAAAAAATCTTTTCTATAAAGTACAATATTAAAATAAAATGTAGTGTGTTGATTAATATAATTTCCGTTTTCAAAATATGGTGTAAATCTTAATTGTTCCCATTAACTACAATGTTCGAAGTGTGTATGACACCCATCTACATAAATGTGGTCCAGATGCAAGCAGGTTTATAATTATTTTTTATTGCCATAGCTCAGAACTATATTAACTGAATGATATGAATTTGTTGTACTTATGTATATAACAAAAATGAGTAACATTTAGACTAGCCTTGTCGTAATGAACATCAAAAATCACTTTATCGTAAATGTAAAGCTAAATGTTTGGAAACTAATAAACTTCCATAGAAATACATTTTTTACTTTCATTTCTTGCTTCAATAAATCTAATACGTTATAATTAAATTAATATGTTGATGTGTGTTATTCGAATAATCAAACTAATTTATTAAGTTTACGTGAATCTTTATGTATAATAAAATATTTATTTGGTTATTTTTAAAAATTAATTTTATAATTTCTATTATAAAATTCACCAGTCTGCTTGGAATAACACACGTGTCATTATAATACATCTAATTTAATTTTTTTTTGTTCAGTGGGCGTTGTAAAGGTACTTTTGTCTTTTGGCTTCACTATGTTGTTATAAAAATTAAACAATCTAGAACGATGCATAATTGAACTTAGATGAAGCTCAGTTTTCATATATTTAAAATTTTATAAGTTAATCATGGATCTAATTATTTTTAATATCATTATTTATAAAAGGTAAATACTATTTCTTATGTCTTCTTTGATGACTAAATTAAATTTATATATCTATGTAGGTAGGTAGATTATTGTAGAGATGTTTAAAACTTTTTTGTTTTTGTAAACAAGATTTCGAATAGTGAATTAATAAATTAGCAACTTTTTAATTATTGAGTATTTCATTATTTAAACTACGAGAAAAAATATAATAACTATTAAACAAATGTTTTAATTTAAAATCATAATAATTATTAAAAAGAGTTAGAAATAAAATTCTTATTGAACAAAAATATTTGAAAGTCGATATTATATTTTAATTATTTTTAAAAGTGTATTCCTGGACTATTAAATACAATAATTCTAATATAATCATACATTTAATTTTAAATTGCAAAATCAAACTTATTTGGTTAATAAAGTATTCTAAAAATAAAATAAAAAAATACTTTATATAATAAATATTAATTTCATTTTTATTAAAAGAATATATTTGTTTCCTAAGATACGTTTTTAAAGTTTATTTTTTATTATTCTACACTATTTTAATAAAAACATTTTAAAATCTGCAAGTATTCCTGGATTTAACATATATATATAACTCCATAAAAATAGTTTTATGTAAAATATTTTAGTGGTTAATATAGATCAAGTGTAAATTAATTTTTTTTAATATATATTTAAAATATATTGATAATATATGTATACATTAATTTATTTAAGGGATTTTTTATATTAATATTATTTTTTCGTTAAATCCAAGGTTCATAAAAAAAATATGATATAATAATCTATTATTGATTTTCGTTGAAAATTGTTTTTTTACAAAGATTTTTTTAAAATTAAATGTAGATTTTTCAGATAATATTAAAAAACTTACATATGTTTAAGATTAAACAAAGGACAATAAAAATAAATGTTTGAAATTGGATAATCAAAAATCACGATATAAAAAAAAAATCATAATGTCATCTTTTGTTTTAATTGTACATAGAACAGTAATAATCTTTCTATTATTATCGTGTAGTATTATTAGGCAAAGTTATTAAGCGCTAGAAAATATGAAATGTTGTTATTGGGTATGTGTTTACGGGTGTCGCTTTCCGGTACCGTGTGGGATCCAAGAGGTGCCTTTTCTAATGGGGTGTATATGCGTGTGCCAAGTATAGATCAAAAACATATACACATATATAATTATATCAGTAAAGCGCCCTGTGTTCGTACATAAGCAGCACGTGTATGTCTAATATTGCAGCCAGATGGTATCCTTTCCGCCCAAAACTCACACCCTCGCAAACCGTGTAATCGTGTAGGAAATTTATTTTATCGACAGGTATTTATAACAATCATAATGTTTCAAGTAATAGAAACTTTCAAATAAGAACATCTTACTTAAGAATTATTAGTCTAAATGCATTTTCTTTTGTACATACAACTTATTAATACATAAAAAACGAAATCTACTTTTGGAAAAAATTGAGATGAATGTAAAAATATTAAGTAATTGTAAACAACAGTGAGATGTATTGAAAATATTTTTATAGTAAATTTCTCGATTGAAAAATATCAAAGACTACAAGTTTTTAATTGTAATCTAATCAAAGAAGTTGAAGCAAGTATAATTAGTTTTTCAAACATGCAGATTGAGGAAAAACTCGTTTTGTTGCATTAAATGCATTTTTTAAAAAGATGTTTAATGCTTTTTTTCACCTAGATATAGCTATTTCATACTATGAGAACTTACTAGTGTGTTTTGTACATCGAAAGAAAGCAAAGCGAATAGAAGAATTCAGCATTTCGCGTCATTACTCCCCTAGCCGAGTAAAGGGAAGGTATTTTCTTTTTTGACAAGGTTTACATGCCCGTTAAAGGTCATGAGTACTAATTTGTTGAATACCGTCGAATTGGTTGTCAGAACAACAATATAAATGTTAAACAACATAAATGTTGAACTTTTTATTTTCGTATAAGAATTCTATATTCTACTTACCAAAGTAATTCAAGTGTATTCGTTTAATACCGTGTAAATATGCTGATAATAATTAACAAATGAAAAATATTATTTCAATATAATACTGTAATTTTATTCAAAAATATCTTTCACAAAAGCTTAATAGCTTTAAGTACAAATAACAAAACAAACGTTCTGTTATTTTTGTTTGTCATTGTAAAGATAATTACGAGTTATCATAATGTGCCTGAGTTCTCTTCATTTCGAATTGTTCCCAAACAAACAAAGCAGGGGAAATTTTATAACAGCATCCTTTAGTAGTCCCCGTTAGTAATTATTTTCTAATTAGTAGAAACCGCTTGGTCTGCACGTAACCTTTCTTGTATTAATAGTTGTTTTTAATAGAAGGATTATTTATCTGGGATTTGTTTAAAGTTGTTTGAATTATTATCTTTTTGAAAATCCTTGG